GATGAGAGTGAAGAGGTCAGACGCCATGCATGCCAAGCTCTCGGAAAAATTGGTGAAAAAGCGGCGACAAATGTAGTGATCACTAAACTGGCTAGTGCATTAGGAGATGAAAGTGAAGAGGTCAGACGCCATGCGTGCCAAGCTCTTGGAAATATAGGTGAAAAGGCAGCGACAAATGAAGTAATCACTAAACTGGTTAGTGCATTAGGAGATAAGAGTGGTTTTCTTACAAGGACTGCATGCTGTGCTCTCAAAAAAATGGGTGAAAAAGCAGCGACAAATGAAGTGCTCAATATGCTTTTGAACATGCGTGATTCTGAAAAGCAATTGGCTGATATAGCTGAAAATGCTTTAGATAATATTTTTCATTCTTCATCCGTAATGATTGGTTTGGGTCCAATGCAAATCTTATTACTTTGCGTATTTGGAAGACAAGAAAAGTGCTTGAAAAATGTTTCAGTAGATGTATTGGTCAGAAATTTTTTCGATACACAAGATGCTGATTGGTTACTGACGGCGACTGAGATAACACTCAAGAAAGGTGCCGCTGTTTCGATCAATGAAGATAAATTAATGGTGTATGATAATGGAGAACCAATAGAAATATCTGTTCCAAATCTGGAACTACGTAACAAACTCATTGAAAGTTTTACTAATCTGGCAAAAGCACTGCATTTATCTTTTGAGATATCGTCAAATCTAGCAAATTAATGTTAATTATATTCCCGCTTTTTGAGTATCATATATTTCTTCTCCTAAGTCATAAATTATCGATACACATTTTTTTCTTACTAAGTTATCTTAACATATTCATTGTATCCTTTTTTCTTTGCCTATTAAATTGTATTTCTTAGTCTACATGATTTTTGACAGTTATGGAATGACGTGTAGAAAAAAAAACAAGTTTTTTCATTTTTAGTGATACAAAATAATTACTGGTTGTTAACCACTTTGTAGAAATCATTTGATAGACAAGTGAGTATATTAGATTAGTGATAAAGTCTATTAAAAATGATTCTATATCATACTCATTCTAATAAAAAACAAGTATGTATTAACTTTTCTATCAATAATTCAAGTCAGAAAGAGTAATCAATCAATTTTTTACTCATTTATGATCATTTTTAAAAGTTTACGATTAATGTTTGAATGAAAATTATATATTGTTTTTTGATGTATTAAATTAAAATTGAAATTTATTGTTTATGAAAAATATCACAAACGGAAATATTTGTTACATATCCTTTTACATATTGAGGGTGTGGGTGTGAGCTTATGTGTTGTGTTCTTCTTCTTTCTACATTCAGACTCATACCTAATCGACTAGCGTCTTTTATAATTTTATTTTCTTATACAATTATTATAGAATGTTCTTGGATTCTTTTTGAACAAAATATTTTCAATAGTTTTATTGTCGAACTTGCTCAATCAATTAAAGATTTCATCTATTTGAGTCTTGTCAAGACAGGATGTGGGTGTGTGATGAGGGGGGTAACGAGAGTGACTCCATACCCACATTCTAACATAGTGAAACTTTAAAAATACTTCAAGATATCAGTCTAGTTATTTGATGTGTTTTTACATTTTGAAGATTTCATAAATTGACAGAATTGATTCAGTTTATCAAATAATCAAGTGAATATTATCGTACGTAACTTCAACTAATTCCTGATAATCTTACAAGAACATGAATATACGAATGACCGTGAAGTTTATTTTGTTTTCTATACATATTCATATTCTCAAAATACTTTCGATCATTGACGATATACAAAAATTGTTGCCGGCAAGATGAAATTAATAAAGGAATACTATAAAATAAAAGGTAAACTCATTAATTTTAAATATAGATAAATTCACATCGTAATAAACAACATCAAAAGCAAAAAAAAAGTAATAATGAATTTATGTTTGTTCTTCTGTTAATGATTAGTTCACATTTTATATTGAATTGGCTTGACTTTGTGTAATTTCTCTCGATTTTTTAATTATTTTTAATATAAATTCTTTTATTTCCACTCGATATGTTTTCGATGTAAAACTAGGAACAAAAAACATTGTATTATAATTCATATATAAAAGTACTGACATTGTAATAAAATTAAGAAATGTTTCAATTGGTTTTCGTTCATTAGTTTTATTTAAAATAATACTATTCGATATTTCTGTATAGAGAAGCATTAATAGATGTGTAGTTGTACATATTATAAAAACAATTACTTCAACCATCATAAGTTTCATGAATTGAATATCTCGTTGTCTTATTTGTCTAGTGTTATTAATTGGTTGAATACGAATACGCAATTGTCTTAAAGCTTTCAATATCAATATATTAATTAAAATCATACTTAGAATTGGTATTGTACCAGTAAACATTAAACTATAAAAACCTATTATTTGCTCATAAAGTCCATAAAGATAACAAAGATTATTTTCAATACTTTCCCAAATGAGGAAATGAATAGACATTATCATCCAAAAGATGGGTGTGGGTGTGGGTAAGAGTTGAATCTAATGCCAACATCCACGCCCACCAACACCCATTCATACCCTCACCCACACCCACACCCACACCCTCACCCTTACACGGACAGCAATTATAACGAAGAAGATTAAATTTGTAGCTATGATTTCAAAGTAAACAGTATCTTGGGAATGAGTAAAAAGAATGAAACTTTCTGTGGAATAGTGAAACTACGATCGCTAATATATGGTATAGAAAAATGAACGAAATTTCGTTCGTCTGAATAAAATGCAGTAAGTGCCGAGAACCTTTTGATCACTCTATGTACTTCATTTAGAATCGCAAGTATTTTTTTTCGAGTACGAGTACTTCGAAAATGTTGCCCACCTCCGTATTTCTTTGAATGACTCAACGCTTTTAAAATTCTCTTCTGTTTTACTAACGATATCTACCTTTATAACGAGAATAAAAATGACTAGTAGTAACCCGTCAAATATATATGTCTTGATATGATAAACAAGCAAGAAATTAAAAAGAAGAAAAAGGCACAACACTCGAACTGAGTCATATCGTTTTTTGTGTCTTCATCATACTATTTAACATAGATAAAACAGAGGCTAAATTCCATTTGTTGGCAAATAGACAATCTTTATATATATATATATGACTTTATAAAAGTGCATTCATCATTCTTTAGATGTAGTGTAATCGAAGGATGTTTACACATTTATTTTAGATGAAATATATTATAACAATCTTGTGCCTTCTAGTACTGGTCCAAACAGGGATCAGTCTTCGCCATAAAGGATTTTCTACTGGACATCGAAATACCGGAACTAAACTTGCTTCACCTACTGGTAATGTTGGTGTTAATGTAACATGGACATTTGAACTTGGAAATATCACAAGAATACATATGGCTATCTACAAAATGCAACCGGCTCAATGGGCTGCCATTGGTCTTAATCGTAACCAATCAATGGTTTGTTGCCACGACTGCATTTCTTAACTAAATATGATTCGTTTTTCCCCCTTGTCAGGCCCCATCTCATGTGTTTGTTTGTCGACGACTTGTTAATGATACTGTTGATGTCAACAGATATATGAATCCTGGCAGACATCTTCATCCTGTTCCAGCTGGAATAGCACAAGGTGGAGTATTCACAGTAGAAAAAGCAACATTTGACGCAGGTGTAGTTATTTGTCAATTTACATTATCAAATTTTAGTACTACGCAAATGACAAACTTGAACGATCCACCAATACTCTCACAATCGACACCCTATCATCCATTAGTTGCTGTTGGAGCACTGAATGCTACAAGTAAGTAAAAATAATCGGAGAAAAGAATTGTGTTTTACTAGTTTTATTTATGATAAGACTCAGCTAAATTCTTTAAGATCCATATATATATATACAGGTTGATTCCGTTATTTTTAATAGTTTTGTATGATTTGTTGTATTTGTGTGAAACACTGGAAGTTTTTTGTTTTGAGATAGTTGGATAGAGCATTGACTGCTCTATCAAATCAATAAGCTTGCATTCTTTGTTCTTCAATTTTATTTTAAAAATTTTTAAATCTTTCACGAACAAAAGATTCCTTTTTCAAATAAACATGTAGATGCAAAAATTAAAAATATCCTATTTCATTTTTGGTAGCTACTGTTTAAAAAGTTTTTGAATTAAAACCGAAGAACATAGAATGTAAGCTAATTAAACAAGAAACTTCCAGTGTTTCACATAAATACAACAAATTACACAAAACTATTAAAAATAACGTAATCAACCTATATAGGATTCTGACTGAACCGATATGTTTTCTCATCAGCCGATTCAAAAAAAAGTGATTTTTGAGCAATTTTCTTAAATAATACATTCAATTTATCAATTAGAAATATAAATAATTGATTTATATTTCCAGATAGCATGAAAGAACATGGTATTGATTCGCACAAGGCTCTTCCTCAACTTGTACAACTTAATCGTACAGAAGTTATTACGTATCATCTGGAATCATCAAAAGTTCATGACAAAAGCAAATTTCTAAAAGTTCTTAATGATAAAATGGCTATGTGAAACAGTAGTGTTTATCATTGGAACATTCCAAATTATTTTTAATCTTCCCTTTGATATAATCTTATATGACGTATATCTATATATTGATTGTTTTTTCCAATTAGTTTCTCTTCTGTCCAACTTTTTCTCTTTGTGTGTGATTTCTCATAAATAAAGAACGCAATATGAAGTATCTTTTCATTGAACAATATTATTTTTTATACAACTGCTTGACTTCGTACTCATTAGTAGAGCAGTCATTTAAATATTACTTTATTTATGCTCGTATTATTTCGATGTAAATCAAATAGTCCATACAGATATCTTTGTCAATACTTATGAAGACGACGACTGAAAAATGATCGGTGTTGTGAGTGTGGATATTATTATTCGTCATCAATACTCATCCACCGTCAAGATGATTTTGTTTAGTATGCATAAAATTAATTAGTCCCTTAGAATGAAATAGAGTAGATATATCAAATTTTATTATCATTAAATTAGTTATAGATCACTGTTATTCTGACAATAAATCATTGACTGACTGTAATGATAATAATAATAATTATAGATTATTCGATATGATTTCGAGAATAACAGCGTAATAAGTTTTTATCTGAATATGTTCATATCGTTTGACTATAACTTATCATTGTTGTCGGTGAAGATATGAAAACGACCATATTCCGAATTACATTGGATGCGCATGAAACATGGATGAAGATGATGAACAACGTCAGTATCAATAGTGTATTTATAGATCATCATATCACAATCGAATCGACATAGTCGAGGTGTACGTTCGAAAAGAATAGAAGCTAGTTGAGAAAAATCAATACTGGATACTGGTGGAAGCATTTTCAAATGAAGTCGTTGAAGTTTAGGTACTTGCATGAGAAGTGAATCGATCATTTTGTTTGTTGACCGTTTCGTGATTTGAATTGAAAGATTACGTAAAAAATGATGTGAAGAAAACGCTGGTGGAACGATTGATTTATCGATGAAAGCATGCAATATGAGACGAATAAGATTAGGACATGAATCAAGAAGAGCATTATAGATAGACAAAGTAACAGGTCCAAGAAGAGTTAAAGAGCGAAGATTAGGTGATATAGACCAATTTGGAGTTGGATTGGGTGTATTAACAAGAGTACATGTGTAAAGAAAAGGAAATCCATTAGAAAAAAGATGTCGATGTAGTTTGTCTGTTATCGATGATTCTGACAAATCTCTTACAAAACCAAGTGAAAGAAATTCAAGATAAGATAGTTGTTCGGATTGTAGAAGTTGAGATATTTGTTTGTTGGATGGATATTTAAGTTTTAAAGAACGAACATTTGAAAAGTGAGTGAGATCTATTGTCTCTATACCATCATTAACGACCATCAATCGATTCAATTGTGATGCAAAAAACATTATCGCTGGATCATTAGCACTTTCAGATGACCATAACGTGAGAGAAACATGATCGATAGATCGTAGAACGGTATCGACCCGTATGTTCAATCCAACAAATGTTCGGTAAAGTTCTCGGATTGTTAGATAGTCGAAAATATTTCGAAATATCTCATTGGGAAGATCTTCAAAACGTGTAATACCGTTGTCATTCATGAAATTAACTGTTTTGTATATCTAAAATAGAGAATTGAGAGTAATAGTTAACATATTTGACAGATCAATAATTTCAACTAATTATTTGTTTTGCGACGATTGTCAGTGATACAAACATCAATTCTGCATTTAAATCAATTTTTAGAATCATCCCTACCTTTGCTATCTGATTTTATTCGAGATATATGAACGTTGTAATTATTTTTATTTGAAGATATTATCATTTTAGAAGTAATATAGTTCTATTCAAATAATTGTTGAAAATAAAATATGTATTTTTCATGATCATTGATTGTATGAGATAGGAAATTCATTGCTACTAATCGTTAATTGAGAAACTATATTCCTTACGTGCTTCATTTGTAATCATACGTATATTATACCTTATAGCGAGTAACGAATGAAGAAAACAAGTCATTCAATAAACTATTTTTCATCAATCACAATGTGTATATATATATATATATGATAGTATCATTTCTTATCTTTTCGCAACACGTCATTGTAAAAATTGTAGAACAGAAAAAATATACATGACGCTGTTCCGTTTTTGATGATGCAAGATATGGATGAGTCATCCCACGAGAAAATACATTTAAAGCTTGTTCTATAGAAAAGTATCTAGTAAGGACTGTATCTAAACTACTACTGAATCAGGAGAATCTGTAAGCTGTGATTGATGGTCCGAACATATACAAAATATGATCAAAGTATCGCACCTGATGATGAATATCTGATTCTAATAGTGGAAAGTAACGTCGTAAAGTTGCGTGTGTATCATTATAGAAGTATTTTATAACTATGTAAGAAACTACATGGCGAGCAGATGAAAAGAAGGAAGTATCTAATCGTACCCCATGCATGAGAAATAAGCATTGAAAAGTCTGTTTCTAAATATTTACCTCTCGAAATTGTATGAGATGCAGCAAACATAACGCTTCTACGACACGTTGAAGACTTTTGTTTTTTACTTTTTCTTTTTCTTTCAATAGAAAGACATACTTTTATTTTATTTTTACCTCGTATCACATCATGCGCACAAACACTGCACATGTCACATTTTTTTCTGTACTTTCATATTTCTGAACCATTTTTGCGTATGTGTGGGTACGTATTGTTTTAATGTATTATCGATATATGTATATACAACCCTTACACGTCTGCTGTAGTTTTAGCGCTTATGAAAGACATTTCTATCTGATGTCTAATAATTAAATATTTCATTGTTAGAGTAATAAGAAGATGATCTAATTGATCGAGTATCGAATATATATATATATTAATCTAAGAAGAGTTTTATTGTATCTGAAAAAATATTTATGAAGCTTTTACTCATACAAGCAAATTTTTAATAGCATTCAATCTTCTAAAAGTGATATTTTCAAAAGTTGAAAATTTTCTTGCTTTCGATAATGTATCTATCTCTTTATATTGTAGATATTACTTACTACTTATCTACAAGAGAGGCTAATGAATCTGAGATGGGCATCTTCATAGCAACAAATAATTATGAGATCCCTAAACTGCCCGCATGATTTTTAAATTACGTGAAGGGTTCATGCAATTTTCGAAATAATTCGACAATTATTTGGGCATTTTTATATATCTCAAATAAAACAATATGTCCTCAGTTTTTACTCTCGTAATCTCCCTCAAAATATTCCCCAGAAGCAATGCCCTAGCAGTTTGATAACCAGTCAGAAAACACTCAGATACAATTATGAATTTTTCGTGGTACAAAATTTAGTATTTTCAGATGATAAATGATTTGATGAATCAATACGCATAGAAATATGCGTGATGAACGACAAACAATTAATAACAGTTTTTCGGTCAATATACTGGATATTGAATCAAATTATTACAAGTAACTCTGCATAAAAGAGACTGAAATTGATCAAAGTTTACTTTAATCGGGCGCATATTGTCGATACAAATGTCGAACTGTCAATGTCTATATCAAGCAGTGAATTATCAATCGGACGCTCTATCTTTTTCCAACATATATGAAATGAATAGTTAGTAACATATGCAACCCTTTTCAGGCAAGCCAAAGATATGAAAATTGTAGTACGAATCCGATCAATCAAAATAAGAATAAAGATTCCGATAAAACTTCTGGCCAAACTTTTATCTTTATCGTGCGATGAATAATAGATTGAAATTCTATATGAGCATCTTCGAAATATTTTTTTATGCAGAAAGAACCGATTCGACTAAGAATTAGATGCTCATCATCTGATTTATATTGTCAATTTCAACGTCAACAGTATTTAGTCATTTTATCTGGTTTAAATGGATTATTAGACATATTAATGGAAATAAATATATAGTTGACACAATTATATTTTCTTTGTCACCTTTCTCGAAATATTGGAACGAATTCTCAACACCAATTATACGTATATCAGGTCCGAACTTAATAATATGAGACCTAGATAAACCAATTATTTATAGCAAACATCCGTTTGTTGATGTGTACAATATAAATGATCTTACACATGAATGTGAGTGTTGTGGATAGGTAGGGGATGGAACACCACCAACCCAAGCCCACGCTCATGCTTACCCTCAAGATTCAAATATGTATACTTATCAATTAATTATTTAGTCGACGATGTCAAGTTATGTAAAGTGTTAGGAAACATAGCATACAAAATGATTTTCACACATGCTTTAGTTATGAACATTAATGTACGAAAGTTCACATCTGAATATTCGCAACTATTTCGATTAATTTCAACTTCACTGTCGTTCCCACCCAACAATATAATGACAATGAAGGACATGAGATCATCATCAAATGATTTTGTTTAATCAAGGCATAGCTATATAATGAGTTCTTTTTTTTATTTTTTCAATTGTATTTTGAGAGATAACCTTTTTTGTGAAATAAACTGAACAAATATGAATAGATATAAGATTATGTTTCAGACAGTGAAATACATCATTACACTAAAGTTTCTTATAGATAGGGTGTAAGTTCAGCAAGAGAGTAGTCACACCCTTTGATAATGTCTCCTTTCTCTTTCGAAGAAGGCAGTATGAATTCTTTTATTATTTTTCATAGGTATTTGTATCATTCAATCACAAGATTTTCTTGCGTTCTGCACGAATACAAAGAAAAATAGTTCAACCATTATAATCAACTGCATTTAAAGTCTAGTATTATTATTTCTAAACATAAGAAAAGATGAGAACTAGCTATTTTTTTAAAAAGAGTCACGTGTGATGAACAAATTAAGTTTACAAAAGATCATATAGTATACGCCGCTTTAAAACGTTGCAGAACGTAAAAGAAATATTTTGTTATTAAAGAAAATGACATCAATCATCAATAATCATTTGTAATTATAAGTAATCAATAACGATCAAAAATAATCTGAAACAAGAATCTCTTTAGATTTTTACCTTGTTGAATAAAATCATAGAAAAAGAAAAAAAAGAAAACTGTATTTTGTATTGAAAAAAGAATACGAATATAAACTTAATAGTATGATTATAATAGAAAATGTCATGCGAGATTTGAAATATTGTTTCGTTCACAATTCTGTTTGTCTACGTAAGTTATACATGAAAACATTCTTATTTTATCGATTATTTACAGTAGACTATTAGTGAACATATCAATTTTCGAGTTCTTTCTATCTTTAAGACAAATAAAACATAATTATTTGGTGTAAAGCAGAAGTAATGGGAGATGTAAGCTTGATGAAACTTTCTTTTTATATAGTTTTATAGAGAAAACAATGATCTATGCTATTTGATGATACTTTTACTGATTTCATAATAATAAATTTTTCATAAGATTCGTTTTGTTATGATTTGTGAGTATATTAAGTTTCCTAGTACAGAAAATTAGTTACATCAATCGTTACTTTTTTTTCATAAATTGTATCAAGTGATGAAATACTGAAATAAGTAAAAAAGAATAATTCGTCGTGTGCCAAAAAAACCGTTTTTTTAACAGTCGGAATTTCATCGCTCCAAAGTATAATATCTGGTATATTTGCTTTTTATTTGTGCATATGAAAAACTAACTATGATTATAAATCATAACAAAAATTTATTATTATAATATCAGTAGAATTATGATGAATTAGCATACAATTATACCATTAGTTTTGGTATACTTTAGGTATAATTTGCTACACGAGATTTTATTGTATAAAATTATCGAACAGCTATTTGAGATTTGATTGATCGTCAATTATATATTTTTGATATATACTTTTAGAAAAAATACGGCAATTCTTTTTCATTTTATTCAAATGATGGATTACCATTAGAATTTGTATATGTGCATCCTATCGAAAACATAAGATTCATTCTAGAAATACACATTGAGCAAGTATACAATTATAAAGGTATAGCGACAACATAAAAGAAGAAAGAAAGAAAGAAAAGTGGAGCGACGAAAAACAATTTTGTATTAAAATCTTTGAATGTTTCAGAAGTACATATAATTATCCGATTGTCGTCGGCACCCTGCTTGTATATCCTATTAAAAACATTTTAAAGAAAAATGAAAACAAACAAGAAAAAGTCATCGTAAAGATTAAATATTCTATTGAATATGTATAACAATATTTCTTATGGCAATAATACCAAGAAAGTATTTTATTCATTTTTATAGATATATATATATAGAACATACATTACATACAACTGAGTACTAAAATATTTTATGAAAAATACTTAATTAAACGGTTCTTTTTAGAATCATACGATCACTCAGACAATTCAACAAAATGGTAAGTTCTACTAACGATTTCATATTATTTCTAAGGACTTTACAAAAACAAAACACCTTTATACAAGATTAAATTCTGAAGTTTTTTCTTTCTCTTACAATCTATTTTCGATAAAGACAATACTATTTACTCAATTTAATCATTTGAAAAAACTTAAACACTATTATATATAATATAATTCAGTATTTTAGAATTGATTTGTTTGAGTAAAAATAACTGTTCTCAAACGAGATATTAATAATTCAAGAAAAACATAAATTATATTTTGAATCAGAAAAAATATTTAATCTCGTATATAATTTGTCTTTTTTTTTAATTTAGAATTTTTGGCAATTCGTTTTGTGGATATGTCTCTCTGCAATTAGTGTTACTCATGGCTTATCGATTGAAAGTAATAGATTTTAAATAAATATATTTACTATTGAATATATCTATATGATTTATTTCTAGGAAGTTCATATTTAGCATATCAAGAAAATGATATTCATCCACGTATTGCACGTCAAGCAGGTGGAACAGCAACTCTCGCGTGCATGTGCCCTTGTGCTTGCACAACAACGTCGACAACAACAACTAGTAAAATTTTTATGTTAATTATTTTCCATAGATTGAAATACACAGAGAGAAAGTTTAATTCGATGAGAGATGTATGATAGTCATTGTAGTTTCTGTTTTGAATGAATGAAAGTTTGATCAAATATATATTTATTATGTATTGAGTATAATCTGTAATAAATACAGTCACTAATGTTTCATCATCTTCGATCTCTATGACGAAATATAAGCTATTTTATAGATCATCAATGACTAAATATTTTATAAACTAAGTTATATATTTCTAAGTTGGTAGACTAACAGTATCAGATTTTGGTTAGATTCTGTGCAATAAGAATCTATAATTTGTCTTTTAAGTTTTTAGAATTAGATATTACAAAGCGTATTCTCAAAAATTCAGAAATACATAAAAGTGAAATGTTTATTTCTTAAATCATTCTTAAAGTTGATTTTTACGTAAAATTTTCGTATAATCAGTATTCGAAACAGATTATTCAGTTAAATATATTTCTATATTAAATCTATTATAGATCAATAGAAATAATTTCGTTTAGTTTTGTTTTATATTTTGATTATAATTTTTTATCGTAAAACAAATCTAATTTCGTAATATTTTCGATCGTATATAAAACAATTTTATCATCGTGCCGTGAAACACGCATGTTAAATATACTTAATAATTCTTCGAACTGAGCCTCTTTTAGTTTATGCTCATATATAACAAAATTTTGTCTATCATTGACTAATTAAATACGTTTCATACATAATAAATAAATATATTATATAAACACCTCTTTAAGAACTAGCAATAATGTATAGTCTTTTCCAGTCAATAAAAAACTTGTCACCATATTATCATAAAAAATGAGCACTAATGAGCGATATTAATCTTAATGAGATTACTAACGTTGTATCTGAATAATATTTTCTTAACTACAATGTAATTTGATCTCAATTAAATATCCTATAAATTACGATACATTCAGAAGCGTGCTCAATATTAAAAACCTTATTATACGAATAAAGCTAAATATTTTCTGAATTTCACTGAAGAACTTAAGATTTTGATCATCAGAAATAGTTTAAATTCAATTATTTCTTTTTCACTTATTAACTAGCAACAACCACATCATCAACTACAACTTCAACTTCAACATCGAGTAAAATATACAATTTTTCATTACTATTTAAAATTAATACATTATCTATTTTGTTCATATTTTAGCAACAACTACTAGCACGTCTACAAGCAGTACTTCAACAAGTACTAGCAGCACATCAACAACAACAAGTGCAACAACCAGTACGACTAGTACAACCTCCACAACCACGACAGCAACAACCAGCACTACAAGTACAACGTCTACAACTACAACAGCAACAACTAGTACTACTAGCACAAGCTCGACAAGTACAACAGTAACAACTAGTACTACGACTACATCCTTAACAACAACAACAACAACTAGTTTTACAACAAGTACAACCAGTAGCACTAGTACAACTTCCACAGCGACGACCACTACCACGAGTACAACTTCCACGACTACAACAGCTACAACCAGTACTACAAGTACGACAGCGTCTACTAGCACAACCTCCACTAGTACAACGGTGACAACCAGCAGTACAAGCTCGACCTCGACAACTACGACAGCGACAACTACCACTACTAGTACATCTTCGACAACTACAACGGCAACAACAAGCACTACCAGTACAACGTCAACAAGTACGACTGAAACTACCAGTACTACTAGTACAACGTCTACTAGTACGACGTCGACAACGAGCACTACAAGTACAAGCACAACCACGACAACGACAGCCAGTACTACTAGTACAACTACTACAATTACCACAGCAACAACTAGCTCTACAAGTACAACATCGACAACTACAACAATAACAACTAGTACAACTTCGACAACTACGACAGGAACAACAAGCACCACGAGTACAACGTCAACAACTACGACAGCAACAACTAGTACTACTAGTACAACTTCGACGGTAACAACAAGTACCACAAGCACAACTTCAACCACTACAACAGTGACAACTAGTACAACAGGAACGACAAGCACTAGTAGTACAACCTCAACAACTACGACGGCAACAACAAGTACTACAAGCACTACTTCAACCACTACAACAGTGACAAGTAGTACAACAGCAACAACAAGCACTACGAGTACAACCTCGACAACTACAACAGCAACAACTAGTACTACGACTACAACGTCGACAACAACGTCGACAACAACAACAACAACAACTAGCTTAACAACAAGTACAACCAGTACCACTAGTACGACTTCGACAGGAACAACAAGCACTACAAGTACAACCTCCACAACTACAATGGCCACAACAAGCACTACAAGTACAACCTCCACGACTACAACAGCAACAACTAGTACTACAAGTACAAGTACTACAAGCACAACAGCAACAACTAGTATTACAACTACAACAACCACAAGTACAACCTCAACAACAACAACAACTAGCGGAACAACAAGTACTACAACCACAACCTCTACGACTACAACAGTGACAACCAGTGCTACTAGTACAACTTCCACAACTACAACAGCAACAACAAGTACTACAAGCATAACCTCAACAACAACTAGTCAGACAACAAGCACTACAAGTACAACCTCTACCAGTACAACGGCGACAGTAAGCACTACAAGTACGACGTCAACAACTACGACAGTAACAACCAGCACTACTAGTACGACTTCCACTAGTACTACAGCGACAACAAGTACTACAAGCACGTCGGCTACAACCAGTACTACTAGTACAAGTTCGACAAGTACTACAACAACAACTAGTACCACCAGTACAATTTCGACAACGACGACAGCAACTACCAGTACGTCAAGTACGAGTAGTACCACAAGTAGTACTTCTACGAGTACTAGTAGTACATCAACTACAACGAGTGTTACAACAACTTCAACGTCCACAACAACAACCGCAACAACAAGTACAAGTTCAACTTCAAGTACTTCTACAAGTACTACGTCAACTACTACTTCAACTAGTAGTACTTCCACAAGTAGTACTTCAACGTCGACTACTTCAAGCTCAACATCAACATCAACAACTTCTACTTCTACTACTACATCAACGACTACAACAACAAGTAAGAAAAAGACGAAAAGATCATTTTAGAAATAACTTAAAGTTAAGAAAAATGGAAATGGAAGTGCATTAATTCTAACAATGTGTGAAGTTTAAATATTTTTAACATAGAATAATATTATAGTAGCAAAAAAGGCAAATTTTTAAATTAAGAACAATCTCTTTATTATATAAATAACAATAATGCTTATTATTAACTGATAAAATATAATACATAAATATAAATATAATTTTTAGCAACAACATCAACTACAACGACAACTTGTTTGCCAGTATGTTTGTATTGGGATTGTTGGATAAATACAACAGCAACATTCCCTTATGTATCAACAACTATAAATACAAATACTACTACGCAAACCAGAACCACAACAATAACAACAACAACAACAACAGACTCATCAGATGAAATTGAAAAGTTATCATTAACAAATTCTATTAAAGACCTTCAAGCTGAAAATTTTCGTTTGAAATTAGGTTTAGGCTTAGGTTTAGGAGTTGGTGTATTAACAACAGGCTCAGCGGCTGCTGGTAGTTTCATTTATTTTGCACGACGGTAAACTGAAATTTATTAAAAAAAATAAATAAATATTAAAAATGATTTTTGTTTGCTTTTGTAGTGCTGTACCTTTACAAACTTCTTTTTAATATAAGTCGCTGACAAATGAAAAAACTTTTAACAAAATATTTATACTCTATTAATAATCAATTTAGTGAATATTTGTTTTGATTTAGTTAGTTTTATGTGTTTTATTTAAAGATGTTAACGTTTGAATTTTTTATTTTTTTTTTTCAATAAGAAATATATCTAATTGATTCCATTGTATAATTAAAAATCTTCTATGAATAACTGTGGTTGCATCATGTGACTTAAAACTACTTCGATTTTAGTCAAATTATATAAATAATAAAATATAGATATTAATTTATTAGATTCCAAAGTCAACAATAAGAATTAATAGAAAATTAAAAAAATCTAATCATTGAATATACGTGAATTTTGATAATTAATTATTCTTATATTAAAGAATAAAGGCGATTAAATTTTTTGACAAATTTTATAATTTTCTATACAGTATAATATTTACAAGTATAGAGAGTAAAAAAATCCAACGATCTGTATTTGAAAGAGAAAAGTCAATAATAACGAACATAAAATAAAGTATTTCATGGAGAGACATGTTAAAGAACGTGCTGTATTCTTATCAATATTTTTTTTATTCTTACGTACACATTTATTTTTTTTTCTCGTTCTTTATTTGTTATAGCAACAAATAAAAATAGCGACACATTTTTTTATTCTTTTTCTTCTTCCCGTTTAAATTGCGACAATAGAATGAAATAAAATCATATATTTTCTTATGTGAATAATGAATTCATATTCTCATAAATTATCCTTATCATCAAATAGATTCAGTAGAAATAAATCTTCATCTTCAAGTCAACATGGTGTATGGTATTATAATAATGGAGATTCTTCTGATGTATCTTGGATTCCATTTTCCGATATTGATAATGAAATTATTGAAGATGGATTTTGTAAAAATGAAAAAAGATTAGAACTTGATGATTATTATATTGATCTTGATAAATCTATTCTAATTGATAAACAAAATTCATCGATTCAAAAATCAATTAAACGATATATTCGTCAATCTCATGAAACATCTTTACGTTCCGAACGATTCTATACAACTCAAAAACTTGTTAAATCATGTAGTAATAATGATTTAAATGATCGTCGTTTTATAAATGAATGGAAGAGACGATATACAAAAATGTCAATCGATGATAAATTAGAACAAGCAGCAAATGGTATTATAAGCGAAGGTATGCAACTTGGAAAACAAATTGAAGCTGAATGGATAGCACAACAATTACGTTCTGTAAAAAGTAAATCAAATGTAGAAATGGAAAAATGTATTATTTTACTTTATACTCATGAAAGTTTTCTTTATCGATTAATAAATACAACACTTCGTGAAAATGATCAATCAAAAATCGATAATCTTGGTGCATTTGCTGAACTTCTTTCGAATTGTGATTGTTCATCATCAATGGATCAATTAGGTTATGCAGGAGAATTATATCGAGGTGCTCAACTTGATGAACAAACTATTGAATCATATAGACAATCTGTTGGTCAAACTAAAACATGGAATGCATTTTCATCAACTAGTAAAAATCGGAAAAAAGCAGAAAGTTTTGGTAATGTTCTATTCATTATTAATCGTGATAAATCAACAAGATATCGTTTTTCTGGTATGGATATATCATCAATTTCACATTATCCAGAAGAAGAAGAAGTATTAATTCGAGCAGCAAGAAACTTTACTATTGAAAAATTTGAAAGAGATGATCTGACAGGAAAATATCGTATTTTTTTATTACTTCATTAATCAATTCTTATTAAAAATATATTTTTCTATCAATCAATTATTTCTTGAGGGTGGGTGCGGGTGTGACTGGGTTTGACTGTGAGTGCGAGGTGTGATATACAGACGCCACACCTACCCCCTTCAATTTTTATCTTATGAGATATCACAAAATAAAATTATTTTGTTTCATATGATAATTTAAATCATACTGAAAGAAATAAAACAAAGAATAAATCAGAGAGTCAATAGTTATAACACGTCGTATTCAAGACTAATTGTGCTTCCTTTTTTTTCTTTTTTTCTACTTGAAAGAAAGTTATGACAGATAATATTCTTCCCATTCTTTTCTTTTCTGTGATGGAAGAGGATACTCTCTTGTTTTTTAATTTAAGAAAGGCTTTAGTCATTTTGTTATTCATTTTTTCTCGGTAGTGTTTTTTTCTTCGATAAAAGAATATACTATTCTGGTAGTGTAGTCACTCGCATATTCAGCACACTCAATTCAGAACTCACATTAATCATGCGCATTTAGAAAAAAGTTTTTACTGCTATTCTCCATATATGTGAAGAAGAAAAAAATATCTTTCCTTGTTCACAAGAATAGATTTTTCAAATTTTTTATTCTATTTAAATTAAGTCCGATGTGTATGTTAACTATGGTTATTAGTTGAACGTTCATGTTATAACAACTGTAGAATATAATGATTTAACTAGTAACTATGTTTAATATATATGTTAAGTTTAATTTCAATTGGATAATTCGTCGCTTAACCGTAGTAAAGCGCAATTAACTGAAACTTTATCAGTTAATCGTTAGTTTTCGAATGGTTTGAACGACATGGGAGTAATCTTGTGTAGTAGTAACAGAAATAATTATTCTTGATTTTTTCTTCTTTATCTTTTTAGATAAATTAATCACCAGAAGGTGAACTACATCTTCGAAACAGCGAAAATCATCACTTTTCTGTCGCGTTAAATTTAATATTAGTATCATTTATTACGATTTCAGTAAGCTTGAAAAAAAATATAATGGAAAGACATCAACTATTCGATCATTGGAGAGTTAAAACTATGCGCGTCCCTACTGCAGATGCTACGGTTATTCTTGAGGGTAGACATGAGTAGTTTGTTTTATGCACACCCACATCCAGATTCAGACTCGTTATCGTGGAAAAAAGTTCTAAAATCTGTCGTTGCGTTATGAGAAAGATCTTCGTAAACTGAGAATCTAAGATCCATAAACTATAAGGATTGACTTGAAATAATACAATCGTCGCTATTAAAAGTTTTTAACCTTTCAGGACCAATTTTTCTCTACTAAAAACCGCTGATTTCCATTAGTTTACCGAATCTGACTGAAAATATTTTAGCAACAAGGATTTTTTGGATGCATTCAGATTTACAAAAAGTTGTTACATATTCTTGAAGACGAAGGCAAAAATACCTTAAACGTGAAGTACCGAAAAATCTTTTAAATAAAGCTTCAATATAAGCTATTCTAATAGTAATGAATAATATGCATGTTAATACAAATTATTCATGCAGCTTTAACGAAAGGATGAATTGAAATGAGATTAATAGCACTATATTTTTTCTTCAGACATATTTTATTGTTGACGTTTTTTTGTTCTACCATATTGATACTATTCAGGGTAAGGATATAAGTAAGAATGCGCTAAAATCTTGGTGTAATTAATAGGGCCTAAATGAATAAATAGTTCTCGTGAAAAAATAAATCTAAAAAACGAGTCCTGCTAGTCCGTCTGAGTTATACGCTTTTTTCTGTTAATAATCGTCACATGGTTTGTTTCCTCTTTTCCGTTGACTACGAAACGTATAAACGAGCTGGTTCGTTTTTTTTCAATGATAGAGACATGTTCAAAAGTTTATATCCGTAAAAGCGTGCCTAAAGAGTTCTTTTGTTACATATCAATATTGGCCTCAACAAAAAAAATACTTTTTCACGTATAAGGAAAAAAATTATATATTTATCAAAAATCTCTCTAAGTATGTCTTTACGATTATTAACTTTGAACATGTCTCTGTCATTGATAAAAAAATCAACTCGTTTACACGAGCTGTAATGAATATATTCAAATTCGTTATCGAGGTGCTATTTATGGCCCACCTTGTATATTACAAGATTTGTCTGTTGTCTATCTCATTTTAGGTGTTCTCTTAAAATTGTAGAAAGACAAGTCGAAAATATTAAAATGATATTCAAAAAATTAATACTTACTATAATGGTTCTTATACTTCTCATTTTATGCGCTGATGCAAAGCGTCGAGGTGGCGGTAGAACAAGAATAAGTATGAAAGTATTTTGTTAATATAAATCAAATCAATCTTTCTCCCATTTCCCATGTAGGCTCTTCCAGCAATTCTTCAAGTGATTCATCATTGGATCCATTAAAAACGATTCTAGGAATTATTTTGATGTTATTCAGTTGTGGAGGTGGAATACTCTGTAAATATTTTAAAAGTTGCTCAAATAAAAAATCGCCTCAACAAGAAGCACACCGTTATGTTTCTGTAAACGATAAGCCAACATACACTTTTATTCAGTTAAATGAAAAGAATTTACCAACGAATGAAATATGTGTAAGAAATATGCGGTTCAGATATTTAAAATAGTTGAAAACCATGAAATTCATAAACCGTTATAGCTATATTTAATATTAAAAATGCTTTTTGTTTTATTTAGTTATCGTCCGATACATCAAATACAATGCACTTCATTTTGATACCTCTATCCAATCAATCACTTGACGCCACATCTGAAGAGTTCATTAATAAAAATGAATTAAAACAAGCAGAAACTGAAGAGCTAATCTGCTCACAAAATAAAATAAACAAAGAAGAACAAAACTCAGTGCTTATACCCATCGAAGATGGTAAAGCACCAGCATGCACCAATTGACTAATACATTAATGTGAATCTAATACAGCGAAAATTTTCAGAACGAGATTTTTTTGTTTCAAATTTTGAATAAATAAAATGAATGTTGAACAGATGAACTATACCATCAAAATAGGATATGAAAGATAAATATTACAAAATGATATAAACAAGTGAATAATAAAAGAGCAACATAGGGTGGGTAATAGACCATTACCCACATGCTCACTCACACCCACACCAACCCTCATTAATCAATTCTTATTAAAAATATTTTTCTATCAATCAATTATTTCTTGAGAATGTGGGTGAGGGCGAAAGATAAGTTCTTTTTCATAGATTACATTCATTTGCTAGCATTACTTCATATTGAAATGTGATTGATGTTAGGAAAAAGCTGCAATCAATTATTGATCACTGGAGAAAGAAATTTCTTTATTTTTTACAATAATTAAATATAAAAATAAAGTAACACTCCATAGGCATTATCATTTCAGAAGTCGTTTCTCCTTAAATATGACATATACTTCGATGTTGTACTTTGATAATTTTACTTGTATTTAACTGGTTGTCTCTACTAATCATACGCCGTTGAAGGAATAGAATAAAATATAATCAGTTCAAACTTTTAAAGGCATATAACTAACGTAGACTTCGTCTGTTATTTTTGTGATTGTGACTGCGACATCTTTCATAATTTCTATAAACTTTCGTTTTTCCTTTTTGATATACTTATCGACTCGTCTACTTTATTTATTTCTATTTCTAGAACACATCACAATATACCTTTTGTATATCTTGTGAGTTTATAAAAAATCTTGAGGATGGGTATAGGTGTGAGCGTCTATTAAGGAAAGAGGAACTCATCCGCAGATTCACAGACACTCACACCCTCAAGATTGATACTCAGTAACATAGAAAAAAAAATCAAAAATAAGTTATTCTTGAAATTTCGTCTACTACTGTATCATTGTCTGTTTTAAGTTCAGTATTGGCCATTTGTTCTACTGTATTTGAGTAGATTTTCATAGGTGATAATATATGGAGTATGTAGTATAGACCACCACTAACAATAAGGCCTAAGAAAAAGTTCAATTGATACATTTTCGTTACAGCTGATGGAACAGAGGCACCAATTGCACCAGCAAAACCGACGCTATTAATTAATATTCCAGCAATGTAAGCAACATATGCTCGCCAATTAATACCATAGCTATAGTAGTAGAGTCCTTGTGCAGAAGCAGAATAAAGTTCGTTTGTATCTAAATATTGACATCGAACGAAATAGTAATCAGAAAACATTACACCGGTAATTGCACTAACGAATGTTGAGTAAGATGATAGGTAGGAAAGAAACGATGACGAATTCGAAAGTAAATACCATGGACAAATACAAAGACCAACTATAGAACATATATAACCAGATCGTCTAATATTTAAATATTTTGGACAAATAGCTGTTAAATCACATCCAGCAGAAATACTATTAGCAGCAATATTTATACCTAATTGTGCAAGACAGAATGACAGCGAAATAGAAAATACACCGATACGGGTAGTTATCGATGGCATATTATCGAGAAATGTATTTAATAATTCCAATGGATTCCATATTTCTTTACCATAGATAACTTTTGATGACATTCCAACGATAAGACCAATGAAACTGGTGATAGCAAATCCAAAGGGAATCGTAATCATTTGTGGCCAGAATATAATTGATGGACGAATAGCAAATCTAGTGTAATCTGAAATATTGACAATTAATGTAACAAAACTAGCGACACAACTCATTATTGCTGTAATCCATGCCCATATACGAACACTGCTTGTCGTTGTTGGTAAAATTGTTGATTGGTGAAGAACAGCTCCGATGCCTTTCGCTTTTATAACAACCCATATAAAGAGGAATATACCGGCAATAGGAACAATAATTGCTTTTACTGTAAATAAATGACGCATCGTGTACACTGGAAACCATATAGCAATATTGGATAATGACCAAAAGATCATAAATCCAATAAAATCACGTGTATTAGTACCAAACGAAGGAGGAAGTGTATTTCCTAGATAGTAATACGATGGTACGATTGTACGAATACAAATTACGACACATTGCCCACCTATCCATGCTTGTACTCCGTACCATACACATGACATTATACCTCGATTGAGAATAGGCCATAGACTACCAAAAATACCAAATGATGCACGTCCAATAACTGGAAATGAAATGTAATAGACAGCACCAATTCTGGCTGAAATACAAATAAATATTGCAACAATTGTATAACCAATCCAAACACATATCCATGCTTCCCACCAAGACAATCCATCACCAGCTGTAACGATTGAACTTATTATCATCCATGTACTAATGTTTATTGCATCTGACAGCCAAAATGCGACATAATTCCAAGTACCCCAGAGACGTCTTTCACTTTCCACAATTTTTAAATCTTCATTTTGTAGCATCGCTTCTGTTCCACTTCGATGTTTGACTGTAGAATCTGCATAAATCCATGCAGGTTTACCCATTATTAAATGTGTAGTAGATTAACCTAAAAATATATTGACAGGTTTTCAAATGTTTTTATCGTCAAGGATTTTATTTTATTTCTTCGAAGAAGATGCAGAGTCTTAGTATTCACTCGTGAAATCATTAGTGTGCAATACTAGAACTATATTTCTTTATTAAAATAATTTTGTCTTGTTAAACACTTTCTTTATGACTGTATACATACAATTACATAAAGTAATCTCACTATACCATTGGTAACTGTTTCATGAGTAAAAGTAAAATAAATTCTGTAGATTATTTTCTTATAAATATTAGTTGATCTATGTTACCCTCAAAATAATTTAATTGAAGTATATTATCATTCAATCGTCACGATTTGTATTAATATTCCTCCTACTAGTTATTTAAAAAAGAAAGTAAATGATTACTTTTCTTCTAATGATATTTATAACTGCTTCATTTCGTTTTATTCTGCTTAGATTTTTGAATGTAACCATACAAAGGTGAATTTATTAAATGCCAGAGAAATAACGTACAATATGCTTTATCTAAATGGCACAATATTTCAGTACAGAATGTTTGCAAATCATTGACATGTATAAAAGGTCGTTACTTTTAATAATAACTTTATCTCTTTCATTTGTCTTTATATTATTTAGTTGAGAATGTGGGTGTGCGTATAGGATGATTATGATATTCACATGTTGCCCTCAGGACATGAACATATGTCAACAAATGAATGTGTAAAACTTAAGAAGAAAAAAGAAAAAGTGAAATATTCTCTTCCATTTATTTAATGATTTTTACGAAAAATATTATTCTTTATCAATTAAACATCTGTTTTATTGACGATCTTATGTATTCTCATTTAAAAAAAGTATATAAATGATTTTTGTTTGATCTTATCGAATATTTATTTTTTTATCGATAATTGTATAACGACAGTTATAAGAGAGGCGGAGAAAGCGAATATATGTTTAAGAGAAATTAGTCTATTTATCTTGTTGTCGATCTGTCTCAATGAAATACTTGAATAGCTTGCAACATTTCATTCTTCAATCGTAATCATATCATATTCTCGTCGAAGGGTGTGAATGTACATATTGAATTCATCCTCTCACACACCCTTCGAAATCTCTACCCCGGATTACTTTTTATTAAGATTTATAGAAAATAATCCGTTTTGTTGTCAGATAATCCTTGGACCAATCAGTAAAATGCGGGCACACAAGCAACCGATTTATGGTTGTAGAACTCTTCTGTATGAGAAAGAGAATGATATTTATATGTTGTATAAAATTAGAATATAAAGAAATAGCGCAAGTTATACGGCTGACAACATTATCTATTGCAAATATACGAACTCAAAAAAACAAAGGATTTAAACTGAAGAAAAAGAATATGTCAATACGATTATCACATAAAGAGAACGCACTTGATACGATAAAAGAAATAAAACGAATCAATAGGTATTACACGGATCGAATAAGTAACAGTTCACATAGTAATATCTTTCGAATAAAAGATGAAAGTGCATCTTCTACTAATCATTCTTATTAAGTTTGTATATTCGATAAATCGAAATAGTATTTCATTGAATACACTTAAACAAATTGAAGATCTTTCAACATTACCAGACAATTCATTATTTACGAAATGGAGACCAATTTATCATTTCGCTTCACCTAACTCGTGGATGAATGATCCTTGTGCACCATTTTATAATCCAACAACAGAAAATTATCATTTATATTATCAAGTTCAGCCTGGTCATGTCCAATGGGGAAAAATATCTTGGGGACATGCAAAATCAAAAGATATGATCTTTTGGGAAGATGTCACTTCATGGGAAGGATATAAATATGTTGCTCTTGCACCAGGTGTTGGCAATAATCAAAGTATTAAAGGTGTTTTTACTGGTTCTGCTTTGCCAGTAACAATTAATGGTAACATAGAAAATGGAACAATCACATTTATTTATACAAGTGTTAAACAATTGCCAATCAGTTGGAATGGAATTTATGAATTGGAAAGTGAAACTCAATCGTTAGCAGTTTCATACGATGATGGTGTTACTTTTCAACATTATGAGAATAATCCAATTCTTCGTTCACCACCTACAGGAATGAATGTTACAGGGTGGAGAGATCCTAAATTGAAAAAATGGCCCGAAATGGATGTTTTATTATATGGATCTAATCAAGGAAACTATTATATGACTATTTCATCAGGTATTCGAGGTATCGGCCCACGACTTCTCTTCTATAAAGCTCATCCAAACGATTTGACCAAGTGGACATATTTAGGTCCTCTTCTTGCCGTAAATGGTAATTATACTGTTAACGAGATCTGGTCAGGTTCACTCGGCTATAACTTTGAAGTCTCTAATACTTTTGCTCTTCTTGAAAAAGCTGCTGATGGTGGAGATAATCGAACCATTCATACATTTGCTATACTCGGTACTGAAGGAGGTAATACAACTTTACATCAATCTACTCATTGGTCTGTATGGATTCAAGGAAATATTATTAAAACAAGCAATGATAGTCCTATAATAAATATTTTGGCAGGTGGTGTTGCAGATTGGGGTGATACTTATGCACTCAATTCATTTCATGATCCAAAAGGAGATCGAAGAATCTTCTATGGATGGGTTATGGAAGCTAATAATAATTATGGAGAACGATCTTTTGGTTACAATGGTCAAATTACACTTCCAAGACAGGTTTTTGTTCAAGTATATACAAATGTTGTTGATATTGATGAATCACTTACACAACAAGGACCTTGGACTGTCCTATCAAATACTGATGGAACATATACATTTAAAACTCTTGGTATTAGACCAATTGATGAAGTAATTAAACTTCGACAAAATAATAATCCTGTTTATCTAGTTTCTCAAACTTTTAATCAACCAACTTTATTTACAAGTCTCAATATTTCCTCTACCAATTTTGAGTTACAGGCCTATATTAATGTCTCTTCAAATACTAGTGCTGGTTTCGTTTTTCGTAGATCATCCAATGGATTAGAATATACTACCTTGATCTATGATCCAGTTTCACAATATTTAATTTTAAATCGAACATACTCTTCATTAATTCCAATGTTTGAAAATAACACAATTTACGCTAAACACGCATTATTAACGACTAAGATCGATGATCATACGACACAAAAAGAACTTTTATCTTTACGTATATTTGTTGATAATTCTCTGGTAGAAATTTACGCAAATAATCGTACAGTTATTGCTACACATATCTATCCGACATTCTCAGATTCTACTGGTCTTGGATATATTGTTGATGGGCAAGATGGATCTGTTACATTTAATAATGTATCAATCTGGCTTAACTTACAAAATGCGTTTCCTAAACGACCAGCGAACAGTTCTATTAATTTAGTCAACGATATGACTAATGGTGCTACATTATCATCTACTATACATTCACTTTTCTATTCCTTTTTAATTTTAATTTCGTTTGTGACCCATTATATATGTCACAGTTGACATGAGAATTTACTTCAGATTAGAATGCACGAAAAAAAATCAAAAATGGAAAATTTGTTCTAAAAGAGAAAATCTTTGTACGTAAAAGCAGCTTTATGATCAACGCGATATCACGTAGTTTTGTACGAGAACATATAAATTTTTGTCAAATTTATCAGATGAAGAATTAATTTGAATTAAATCTATAGATTTAGTTGGAACTGAATTTGATTAATCAATTCCCACCCATATTCTCATGTGTTTGTATACACTTTTCATTAATTTAGTACTATGGTTTGAATCTGTAATATGTTTATTTACAACTAACGATTTTTTTCATATATTTATGCGTTAATTGATCATTTTATGATTCATAGTAATACGAAAAATTCTCATTGAATTCACCTGAGTTTCTAAAATCTTTTAATCTCTATTAAACAAAAAATAAACGAATAAGCAACGTACACCATCGAACCCCTGCTCTTTAGGGTGGGTGTGAGTTTGGATGAGCGACTAACAACACACCCATACCCTCACCCTCACCCAAATAAAAGCAAAACTTTTATGTGATAAGACTAAAGAACGAATATTAGCTGTCTCTTTTCTTATGAATTAATAAGCATACTACTTAACATGCATAAAAAAGTTGATTAGTTATTTCGACATTTTCCTCTTCTACGTTTTCCTCTTTTGTTTTTTTTCTACAATTTCCTCTTTCTATGTTTTCCTTTTTTTTATATTTTCTAGCAAGACCATTTTTTCTATCCACCTTTTTTTTCTTGATGAACACTTATATTCTTACGCTCCTCAGATAACATCATTTTAAATATTTTTCTCAAACGTCGCATTCACTACACATCCATCTCATATATATGGCACACTTATTATGGCTATTATATTTTGCATTGATTGTCGTAGCATTTTCTAATGTATCGGCAAATCATGTCATATATACTGTGACTTTGTTTCCTGTGTTGAGAATTCGACTTGTCCTCAGGGAAATCCAGCCACTTACAGTGCAACATTCGCTTTAAATGGTACCCTTAGTCCAAATATCACTTTAAATGTTGGTGATCAATTACAATTTAATTTGGCTACGACTGTATCGATTCATCCGTTGACAATATGTCAAAATAGTGCCGTATCTAATTTCTGCAAAGCAGCCACTACTAGTGATGAACTCAACACTCCAATTACTAACGCAGGTGACACAACTTCTGTTGTATTTAATACTAGTGGTACTTATTATTATGGATGTCATAATCATCCCGGAATGGGTGCTATGATTAACGTCATACAAACAGTTACTACTGCTTCATCATCATCATCAACAGGTTCCTTATCGACATCAACAAAGGGTACTGGTGCTAGGCATAAGTTATCTGTACTATTTCTGTTTGCAGTTATAGTCTCTTTATTTACAATTATTTTCACCTGAAGATAATGACATTATCATTGACTTCAAATTTCTTCATTTAATAGCTTGCGACTTTTTCTTTTTTTTCTCAATAAATTATACATATATTATTTTCAAATATTCTGAGCAATCTTATTAGCAAATCACAAAGATGATGATAAAATTGAGTGTGGATAAATAATAAGTAACTATATTCAATTATTGTAATTATTTGTCTTTTACTGTAATATGAAACAATTTGAATAACTCTACTCTTAGTTACGAGCGATGTTGTATTTCATATATAGATTGATATCATGACAACAAACTCAAATAGAGAAATTTTTTATTACTTGTTAATTTGTAAAAAAAATAGTAATGCAAAAAAATATTTTTTTGCTGTAACACTCGTAGAAAGATAGTTAGAAAATATTTTTGTAACTATCTATATTCAATTAAATAAAACATAATTATTTGCGTTTACATATATATATATATATAAATATCAACTGGTAAAGATAATAAAGTTTAATTAAAAAAAATATATATGTTAATCATTCTCATTTTTTCTGTATAGTTAATTATATCTTCATTTAGCTAAAACAATGAAAAAAGTACATCTCATCTAGATATCAATAGATTCGATACACAATAAGCGATATAAAACAATATTTATATCATGGTTTTATGATTCAATAAAATACATGTATCTTTATATATGAAGAGTAGATAAAACCTTGATTATTTCGAATGAATTATGTTAAATGTATAAATGAAAAAAGACTTGGTACTATTTAAATTAGCAGAATTTATTAAATTTTTCTTAAGGACGTTAGGATGTGAAGAATACGTAAAGATATTGTGAACGATATTATACCCTGGATTGAAGATAAAGTTTTAATAACTTCGACAAACCATTAATATTTAAAAAAAATGATGACTTTGTGACTAGATCATGGCTTTTTTCTTTTGAAACATAACTGTTAATAGGCTTTGATGGCTCATTTTTTTTACGTAGTTGATATTTTTTTTCTTTCCTTCAAACGTCATCTTCTTCGTCAAACACGCTTTTTTTTCTCTTCTTTACTGACGTAAACATATTTATTGGATGACGTCTATAAGTTATTTTCATCTCACTAAAAGTAGTGCATTTTTTTGTCCTTAGAAAATATCTATATATATACGACACAATATAACAGTCAACTCATTATATAGAACATTTTTTTTTATAGAATTTTAAATCTATTACTGATATTAAATGGGACACGGAAGTAGTAAGAATAATGAACCAACTTGTAAGTAATAATTCATTTGTTTCAAAAAAAAAATATCTAAAAGATTACATTCTTTAGCTTATTCCAAATCAGACAAAGCTGAAAACAATGAACACAATGACTGTTGCGACTCAAGAGGAAAACGAATGGCACAAGGAGCATTCATGGCAGCCAATCCAGCTGGAGCATTGATTGCAAAAGCTATCCGTTCATCGAAGAAATTCAATCAAAATAATACAGTTCGTTCAACGAATGACGATGAATTTTAATGTATATATTGTCAATAAGATTACAAAAAAAATAAAAAGATATTTTATTTTATTTTATTTTTCTTCTCATTCTTGTAATTTACCTACAAAAATTGTACTTGTTAAATAAAAACTTGATGGTGTGGATATGAATATTAAGTTAATCCTCCACACTCTCAAAATTATGACGTTATTTTATGCGATGGATTATTCATCGTAGCTAATAACGTACGTACCGTTCTCTATCGTACTTTTGTAACACACGTGGCGTTATTTACCTTAGATATCTGTTGCGATGAATAAATAGTCATGCAAATCATTTTTTTTAATTATTATTACTCAAATGTCATCAATCAAGGAGCGTGTATTTGTAATCGGAGCAAATGGAAATATTGACAGTGGTGTTGTTCGTGGCCTAGTTAAAAAAAATATTGACACGACAGCCTACGTTCGTGACGAACAAAAAGCCAAAGATTTATTCAAAGATGAACTTAACGTCTTTTTCTTCTTTTTGCTCGTTCAAATGATGATAAACCAACATTCTTATGGCAAATCAAAGAAACTTTTAGTAAGATTGCTTTCGAACAAGGTGTTTGTCAAATAGTTGATCTTTCTTCTATCAGTGTTAGTTACAAGGGTAAGCAAGGATTAATTGGATATGCACATACAACAGCAGAAGAAAAACTTTGGGCACTTGCTGATTCAAATCCGGAACAACGATCGCTCGTTGTACTTCGTCCTGGATCGTTCATGGACAATCACTTTCGATTAGACATGCATCATGTTAAACATTCGAATAAACTGGTCTCATGCGCATATCCTTGGAATACAATGATCTGGATTGATACAAAAGGTAAGTAGAGAAATAATCTTTGACGTACGTTATAACTATTAAGACTTTAGAGAAACAAAACATCTGTATATTTTCTTTTTTATTGACAGATATCTCTGATTGTGCTGTTGCTATTCTCAGTGAATCCATTGAAAAACATGATCGCAACGTCTATGAAATGGGTGCTGATAGTCTAAGTAATGAACAGCGAGCTGCTATCTTCTCCAAAGTTCTTGGTAGACCTATTACATACGAACAAAAATCAATGGAAGATTTCTATAAAACATGCATTGGTTTTGGCATGTCTCATTCACTCGCCTTTAATTTTGTATCCTACCAGATGACACAGAAATGTATGAATAATAGTCCAGAGATTGCTCTTCTTATCAATCGACCATCACGTACACTCGAAGACTGGATAAAAGAGAACGCCAGTGCATTTCAATGAACTCATGATATATTAACTTGATATTTTATCATCTGTTTAATTTTGCTTAAATATTTTTAAAATAAAATATAATCAATGACTCATAGTTTCAGATGATGAAAAGTGTGCATAAAAACATTATCAGAAAAAAAAATCATTATCTGATATAAATTTCTTTTGTATAAACTGTTTTTCATTAAAACCTGAGATTTCTCATTTATGAGATATAAGGAGTAAAACAATATTTGATTTCTTTCTATTTTACAATTTATTTCAATATATTCAGTTTTCAGTTAAAGATGAGAATATCATAAAATTACAAAAACTTATCAGACGAAAAGAAGAAGAAAATTTTATCTTTTTTAAGATATACATATGTAATTTAGTTCTATAAAACAAAGCTCTGATTTTAACAGGATGGACATGTTTGTTTATTATGTATATACATACACATTGTTGTTGATAACGTATACAAACTTAAAGATTTTTTAGCAACTCGAAGTCTTCTCTTTTTTGTCTCATTCACAAGAAAAAGGATGTTATAAATAATGCACTAGCCGAGTCTATGGGTGTGCTTGTCGTATTCGGTCAATAAATCATAAACACCCACATCTGCACCCTCTTCAGTCCTACTGTTATACGACAATGCTATGTTACGCAACGCCCGTCATTTCATCGATTCGCCGCCTTGATATGCATTGTCGGCCGTTCACCATTACAAATTGTATAACTACCATTGTTGACCGCTTGCTTGATCCGAAATGGTAAGGATAGGGGTCATATGAGAGAACAAAGGTCAAATGGAGAGGAACAAATAGGGAAAATTGCACGGTGAAGCTACAGAAGGAACCAGAAAAGAAAGGCATAACAATAAGAAGTGACCAATGTGTATGTATATGCACGGCGGGCATGTTCGACCAAGAATATGTAAGAGATAGTGATGGATCGTTATCCATCACAATATCTAAATAAGTCGATAAGGTAAATTATTCATTTCATTGATAAATTTATATTCAAAGACATGGCAATGGCAAATAACAAGACACAATGTTTTACTTGTAATAAAGAAAAAATAACATATCCTTGTAAAGGATGTTCAAAAGAATTTTGTTTAATGGATTTAACAGAACACCAACGAATATTAAGTGATGAACTAAATCTTATTACTAATGAATATAATGAATTTAAACAAAGAATTAATGAACAAAAACAGAATCCACAAAATGATTTATTAATCAAACAAATTGATGAATGGGAAGCAAATTCAATTGAAATAATTCAACAAAAAGCACAACAATGTAGAAAAATTGCTATGGGATGTTTACCAACATTCTTTAATAATATTGAAAAGAAATTTAATGATTTATCTGAACAAATAATCCATCAAAGATTTTTATTAAAGAAGATTCACAATCATTTATTAATGAAATTTCAATTATTTCACCAGGAGGTAAGATTTTATCAAATCATTTTCTAAATGGATAATTCTCATTTTCTATTAAATAATATTAAACAACTATAGTACAAATAATGAAGAAAATAAAAAAATATTCAAAATATATTTTATAAGAAATGTATTGACAAGTAATCATATTAAAATTCTAAATTAAAATCAAACAGATTGTCATCTTTATATAATAAATAGAATATTAAAAAAAAATCAAAATTTCGATCGAGATTAATCCTTTTTTTTATTAAAATATTTTGTTTTCATCATCTTCTAGAATCAAACTTTAACAAATGGAAACAAAATGCCATCGTTGTGGCTGGTGGAAATGGACAAGGGCAACATTTAAATCAACTCTTTTTCCCTTATGGAATCTTTATTGATAAAAAGAAAAACATTTTCATTGCTGATTATGGAAATAATCGTATTGTTGAATGGAAATGTAACGCAAAAGAAGGACAAATCATCGCAGGAGGAAACCAAATAGATCAATTGTATCGACCAACGGGTATGATTGTTGATCAACAAAATCATTCCATCATCACTGCTCACTTCTGGGACAACAAAGTGATTCGCTGGATGAATCAAAATCAACAAATTCTCATTGACAACATTGACTGTTCTCGCTTAACAATGGATAAAAATGGATTTCTTTATGTTTCTGATTGGGCGAGAAATGAAGTGAGACGATGGAAAATGGAAGAATACAACAATGAAGGAGTTGTAGTGGCAGGTGGAAATGGAAAAGGAAATCATCTCAATCAGCTCAATGATCCTACCTGTATCTTTGTTGATGAAGATCAATCTGTTTATATATCAGATCACGACAATAATCGTGTAATGAAATGGAGAAAAGATGCAAAAGAAGGAACTATTGTCGCTGGAGGAAATGGTCAAGGTAGAAATCTTAATCAATTGCATTATCCAGAAGGACTATTTGTTGATGATTTGGGTCAAATCTATGTAGCAGATTGTTGGAATCATCGAGTAATGCGTTGGTGTGAAGGAAAAGAAGACGGTGAAATTGTTGTTGGTGGAAATAGTCGAGGAAATCAATTGAATCAATTGAATCATCCCAGTGGTTTATATTTTGATGACGAAAGAAATCTTTATGTTGCTGATCGTGACAATCATCGAATTCAAAAATTTGAAATAGTTTTGTAAAATAAAAAATTGAGAAATAAAAATAAAAGAATAAAAAAAGTTTTATTATTGAAAATGAATGAAAAAGTCGAAGGGTGAGTGTGGGTGTGCTTGTATTATTTGATTAATAAACCATAAACATCCAGACCACAATCATACCTACACCTGAAATGAACTAAAATATCGGTTAGATCCTTCGATTTGATATGAGCAGAATTAAGTATCTTTAATTGAGTAAAACATGATCGCAGTCGAACTGGAGACAATATCAAATTGATCATAAACGAATTGAAAATATGCATTAATGTGATTCGAGTCTTCCAAAATGTCTTACAATGACAAAAAAGTTGATAAAAAGATAATTGAATGATTTTTTTCCTTCTATGTAATATGACATATGATCATTTCAGTTTATTATAATAAAAAGATCAAAAAAATAACACATTAGAAAAAAGAAAACAAATTCATAATTTCTTTTGTTTCTTTTTAAGTTCATCAGATAAATAAAAGAACCTTTCATCGATTGAACAAACTTCAGCATCACCAAAAGAGGCAACTTCGTTTATCCTTCACAATTTTCTCAACCAATGGTTTATCACAGCTACATATGAGCCGGATGCCAATGCGCAGGTGGAAATCTTTTACGTCTAAGCATAGGAACGCCTCTGGCTTCGGGATGAATACCGAGATGTGGAGCAGGTGAGTGATGGTGTTCAGGATGAAACGGATGGGCTATTCTTCGCGGATAAATTAGGGTGTAATGTAGTGGTCCATACTTTATATAATTTTGCATTTTTAAAGCCACATTACTATAATGATAACCCGTATTAATGCCCATTCCAGTTGGTTTGATCATGATCGACTGTTTAAAAGAAATGTAATAAAATATGATATCGAAGTTGTTTAAGTGAACCCTTTTATAGTTGTTTCATTGAATGTATAAATATAATATTTATTATAGAGTTCGTACGTGACAATGTGTAACAAATTTAATGATATTTCTCATCAGTCATGACCGACAGAACAAGAAAGAAAATGCAATACAAAACGTGAATTTGTCAGACACATGGTAATAATATGACGGCAAAAGCATATTTACCGAGAAGGAAAAGTGATGCTTCATGGTTGCATACTTTACCTGTACTTTAGTCATACTTTAACCTACTTCAAATCAGTTCATAAAATATTTGAAGTAGATGAAGTTTCGTTTTTCCCCCTTTGACCTTTACTAATGTGTCGACTAAATGAGTAATGCACAAGCTAGCTATCAAGATATTCTGCACTCAATCTTTGCAAATTTGCGCTTAAAATAAATTATAGTGTTATCGAATAGTTAGAAAAAAACGTTTTTTATCAACTTGAGGATGAATGTGGATGTAGTGATAAGAGATAATTAGAATACATAACATCACTCACATTCTCGTTATCATCCTTTATGAACGTGTTATTTGATTGCATTCAAGAACAGTTCTCAATTATTTTTTTCCATCATCATTAATTACGAAATACTCCATTTATAGAATGAAAAAGAAAAAAAACGTATTATACATATTTTAGTTGTTTTCTTCTGATTTGAGATACATTGATGGTAAGATCTAGATAGCAGATACAGTGATGTCTCATTTACCAGAAAAGGATTTTTTTTCAACGTTAAATTATCGCACAAAAGAAAACAGAATAATCATAAAATGCTTCTGTAACTGGAGTATACTTGTAGGGAAATAGTAATTCTGTGTATAAGGTATAGCATAATTTTGTTTTGACAGACATATAGTAAAAAAAGAAATAATCATTAGCTCCTAGATGGAGTCGAACCATCAATCTTCTAGTTACAGGATAAACCAAATATGTTTTAAAGTTTTATTAAATTTCTTCTGTTTACTGTTATTTAATTCAGAAAAGTACTAATTTTCAATAAAATCTCAAGAGTTTGACTTAAATTGGGTATGATTTTAAGTACGTGGGTATAGATATCTCTTTTTTTGTGTCTATATCCACTCACACCTCCACCCAAAGCGCTGGTGTCAATTTACATCTTGAGGACGGGTGAGTATCTATTCTATGCTGACCCCGACACCCACACCCTCATATATATCATGTCGCCTTTGTTATATTATCTTGTTTTTATTCTGTAGTTTAAAAATCATAGCAACAGACTTTATCTATATTTTATCAAGATCAGTCTGTGAAAAAAGTTTACAAATTTTTAAACAACTAGCTCTAACTTTTATTATTAGCAACAGATTGTTTTGATTATATAATGGAAAAGAAACAGCCGATATCTTTGTAGTTTTATTCACTATTTTATGAGTGAAAGAAGACACTGAAGATAAATTAAGAATTTCTACGCTATTTTTCGGGTGCGAATATTTCATTTTACCTACACCTTCAATGTTCTCATTATAAAATCATTAATCATGGCTTGTTATATATTATAAAATGGCTTATTCTATTAATAATTAAAAAAAATCATAATAAAATCAATGTAATATGTTTCTATAAAGATTGACTTTACTCTTGAAGAGAAGTAGAGAATCATGATATATATTAAATGTTTTCTTTGATGCATGAAATTAAAATAATATTCAAATAGTTATCCTTGTTTGTTTCAAGGGACAAACCTATTAAATTGTTTTTTCTTCTTGACAGTTTATTACTGAAGAATACTGACTATAAAAATAAGTTGCAATAATAATATACACATCATATATTTTTAGAAAAAAAAAGACTATTCTTTTCAAGCAATATTGTAGGTAAACATTTATTTTACTAATATGTTTTTACAAATACTATAGATATGAACAAATAACATCGCAGGCATATCATATAGACTAGAAAAAGTCTAAGAGAATATGGGCACAAGATGAGATTTAACTGAGATATCGATTTTTTACGGATATTGTTGTATATATGGATATTTTAAAAATATTATATCTCGGCAATACTTAGTCTAAAAATTCTGAAACTTTGATTTTGTCGGAAAAACAGAGACCCATAAAAATATTCTATTAAAAAGTTTGTTAACACTTCCAGTGATTCCCTGGTTAGACTATTTATGTTATGAATGCATGACTTTCATAAATATTATTTTTATATTTAGCTTGTTAATGAGATGAATATTAATGATATTTTTCTCATTAACTAAAAGTTAATAGCAACAAAAAGAAAAGAGCTATTTTCCATAATATATAATATTGTCACTTGAAATATTTTTAAGTTGATTATTCATCCAGAAATTAAATAATAACTTTCAATTTAAGAACTTTGAATGAAACAAAAAAAATAAGTCTTTTAAATGAATTTCCGTCATAATAGAGTACCTGGATAAATTAATCGTAAATAAGGTGTATCTGTCACAATTATAGTTTTCATAACAATTATTTCAATAGTGTATCTCTTATTAATTAATTTATGTAAACAAATTATTTATTTGATTCTTTATATTATTTAACTAATAGTCATAATGTTGATCTTATATTTCAAACAATTATGGTTGATAACTATATTTTTAACAATGTATGTAATATCTCATTCAATACATGGACGATGCTAATAGATATTTTTGATTTAGATTTTCATTTGAAGAATATCGAGCTCAAACTATTTGTCCAAACATGACTTGGTCACCTGATGGAATAACAATTGCTGGCTCATCTTTAGGCTTATCAAACAACACTGCTGCATATCTTAACAAGCCGCAAGACACATTCGTTGATCAGAATGGCACTCTCTATGTCCTAGACACTGGAAATTTTCGCGTGCAACGTTTTCTTCCCAATTCGACTATTGGAACAACAATCATCAATGCCACTTCTGGTTCTAAGCTGAATCAATTCTATGAGAGTAATTCTATCTTTTAATAACTAATATTTAAATTTTTTTGGTGTTTATTTATTTTAGTGAACGGTATTAGTGTAGATCTTAGTGGTAATATTTATATTCTTGATCATGTAAATGCACGTGTGACTAAATGGATACCTGATTCAACTACTGGAATAGTCGTTGCTAGTAGTAATGGACATGGTAATCGAAGTGATCAATTACATCTTCCTTACGGATTCTTTGTTGATCCAATTACATTATTTATTTGGATTGCTGATACATTTAATAGTCGGATCGTTCGATGGGAATCTCCATCAACAGGTATTATTGTTTGTGGAAGTAATGGAGTAAGATCGGACCAATTCGACTTGCCATTCGGATTATTTGTTGATACAGTTAATTCGAACACGGTTTATGTTGCAGATACATTTAATCATCGAATTCAAATGTGGTTACAAGGAGCAACTAATGGCACAACAGTGGCTGGCCAAACAGGCGTTTGTGGTTCAGGACTTAGTCAATTATGTGATCCAAGGTCAGTCATTGTAGACAAAAATGGGAATATATATATTGCAGATTCTTTGAACTCTCGTATTATACGATGGAACATAGGATCAACTTCTGGTACGATGATAGCTGGAACCTTTTCAGATGGAACGTTGCCAAATCAATTGAATGTTCCATACAGTGTTAAATTTGATACAAATGGCGCCCTTATTGTTGCTGATACTTTTAATAATCGTGTTCAAAAATTCGTCGGTTCTTGTGGTAAGTTTTAAACATGCCGAAATAAGCTTTATTATAAAATAGAATAAATTTCAAATATAAATAGAATTTATATTATAAGAACAATACTAAAGAGCAGTTATCATATGTGAGATATTTAAAGATTTGGTAGTGATTATAACAAGCACAACGTTAACAACAATGACTATGCTGGTAAAGGAATATCCTTCAAATACGAAGAGAGTTTACCTTTAATTATTAAATAAAGAATTCGAATTCCGTTCATTTCTATTACTAATTCTTGTTTACAATAGCTTCTGCATAAAGAAGACTAATGATATATTCCCTATAGTATTTAACATTAAAAATCTTACTAAACGAGTGTAGCTACATATTTTCTGAATTTTTATCAAGAACTTCAGCTTTTGATCATCAGAATTAACTTTAATTTAATTATCTCACAAGCTTCAGAATCAATTCTCTCTTTTTTTTATCAACTAGCAACAACCACATCTTCAACTATAGTTTCAACATCGAGTAACATACGTAATTTTTCCTCCTTATTTAAAATTCATACATCTTCTATTTTGTTCATATTTTAGCAAAGACTACTACGATTAGTAGTACGTCTACAACCAGTACCTCGACAAGTACTCCCAGCACATCATCAGCAACAACGAGTATAACAACTAGTACTACTTACACAACAGTCAGTGCAACAACCGCTACTACTGGTACAACCTCGACAACTACAACAGTGACAACCAGTACTACTAGTACAAGCACGACAGCAACAACAGGTACTACAAGTTCAACCTCTACTAGTATGACGGTGACAGTAAGCACTACAAGTACAACGTCAACAACTACGACAGTAAAAACTAGCACCACTAGTACAATCTCCACTAGTACTACAACGACAACAACTACTACAAGCACGTCGGCTACAACCAGTACTAGTATTACAAGTTTGACAAGTACTACTACAACAACAACTAGTACTACCAGTACAATTTCGACAACGACGACGACAAATACCAGTACATCAAATTCGAATAGTTCCACAAGTAGTACTTCTACGAGTACTAGTAGCACATCAACTACAACAAGTGTTATAACAAGTACAACATCGACAGCAATGACCGTAACAGCAAGCATAAGTTTAACTTCAAGTACTACTTCAACTAGTACTTCCACTAGTAGTAGTTCAAGCTCAACAACAACAACAACAACAGGTAAGGAAAAAAGAAAATTATTAATTTTAATAAAATAGTTTATTGATAAACTATATATATTTTTTTGTCTATATTGATTAAATTTGTTTATACTTTTTTCAATAAGAAATATTTAAAAAGAAAAGATCATTGTAAAACAATCTATAGTTATGAAAATTTCTTTTATACTTTGCCAGTTAGAAATAAATATTATTTGAACGGTTTGAAAATGAAAATCGAAGTACATTTATTTTTAAGAAAATTTAAAGTTTAAATGTTTTAAACATATAATGATATTATTGTAGCAAAGAGGATAATTTTTTAAAATAAGAATAATCTCTATGTCATATAAGTAACAGTAATAATATTGTTCGTACATAGCAATAATGAGAATTATTAAAGCAAAAAATAGTTGATATAACATAGATTTATTATTAATTAATAAGTTCTAATACATAAATATAAATATAGTTTTAGCAACAACAACTTGTTTACCAGTATGTTTGCATTGGGATTGTTGGATAAATGTAACAGCAACTATAAATCCAAATACTACTACACAAACAACAACAGAGTCATCATATGATATTCAGCTATTATCATTAACCAGTTCTATTCAAGATCTTCAAGATGAAAACTATCGTTTGAAATTATGTTTAGGTTTAGGTTTAGGATTTGGCGTATTGATAACAGGCTCAGCGGCTGTTGGTACCTATATTTATCTTTCACGACGGTAAAATGAAATTTATTAAAAAAAGATAAATATTAAAAATTGTTTTTGTTTGATTTTTTAGTGTTACGCAATTGCAAAATGCTATTTAATATACATAGCTGAGAAATAAATTCACTTTTAACAAAATATTTGTTCTTAATTGATAATCGATTCACTGAATATTTGTTTTAACTTATTTAGTTTTTATGTATTATATTCAAGATTTTAACATTTGAATTTTTTATTTTACATTTTCCCACCAAGAATATATATATTTCAATTTCTCCAAGTGATATCTTATTGAACTATCTCCTTACAGAATAATAATAACTCAACATTTTTAATGAAATTTTACATTGCATGACGATATAACATTTTGATCACTAACTTAGTAATTGTTTCTATTAGATAGAAGAGCTAGAGAATTCGTTTCTTCGTTGAGTGAGCCGTAAAGCGAGGCCGAAAAATGAACAAAAAGTTGACAGATATAAATAAACATGTGTTTTAACGAAAATTAGAAAGTTTTCACTACACTTCAGAGCATGCTATGGTCAACAATACCAGACAACTCTAAAAATCAAGGTTAAACACATTTGTTTTTGAGATTATACGTTAGCGTACAAGATTTTATGTGTAATACAATAATTACAGATAATGAACGCTATGTTCTCCTATTTATTTCAGTGAAATCAAACAAAAATATTGTTATTCAATATAGATATTTTAGGGATTAAAAGTATCAAAACAATAAGACACAATATATTAAGAAATAATTTTCTTGTATGATATCTCATATTTATGTGTCAAATGATCTGAAAAACTGAGAAGAGAAACGTAATCAATCCAATAAAAGTTAGGATGTGAATGTCATTGTTTTGTTTTTATCTTATACTGACACCCACACCTAGACAAGTATTCATTAATTATTTCTGAGTTACCATTAGTTTTAGAAAAACTGCCAAGTTTCAGTGAGATTGAAAATGTTTTGTTAAATATAAACCAATACACTTCTACTAAATAATTTGTCAATCGAATTTTTTAGCACACGACTTCAAAGCGGTAGATATTATAATTACAAATGATTTACAGTAAATTAAAGTGTTTACATCTTAAACAATTTTCTTCCATTTATTCATTTAATCAGAAGATCTGTTTTATCACATGAGAAGACTTGATATCTTCCATAAAATTAAGGATGATAGTAGTGGATGAACGACTAAGAGTAGCGATAGAAAATATGTTATTTTTGCCAAATTATCTCATTCTTCATGTATTCTCACTTTCTAGCATAATGAAAAATGACTATATTTAATTTAATTTTTAAGAATTCTTAGAAATATTGATTAAGTTATAAATTCAACTCATTTGATATATTTCTATTAGTCGATTGATGATCGATTCGTATATCTAATTACATTTTATAGTATTAATTATTATAATGAAAGGTTTTTGATTACAGTTGTCATTTGATAATGTTCATAGATATGCTTTAATTATTTTCCTGTTTAATATGAAAAATCTCATTATTATTGTTTCTTTTTTCTCAATCTGTTTGAAGAGTCTAGTTCTTCAAAGCAGAATATCATAAAATAAATTAATCAATATTGATTGATAATATTCTATAAAATAAAAAGTTATTTGTATGTGTTAATAAACATTCTTTTTTAATATAATTTTCTATTGATTGTCGATGACTTTCACATAAATATGATAACTTGTTTTTTTTCTTTTTATAAGCATTTGTTAAATAACTGATGGGTGGGTTTCGGTATGTAGAACACATTACCCACATCCACTCACACACTCCACACCCACACCCACACCCACACCCACCCACACCCACACCCACACCCGATGAAAATAGACACTATAGCTGATTTTTCACTAATGACATGCAAATAGGCCAAACGTCGAGCATATAAACCTAATTCACTATCTAATTTTAAACAATATTGCACAATAATATCGTTTTTAGCAATCATATTTGTATGAAATAATGTTTTTTTATCACCATAATGATTGTCAAGATAGAGTAGAATTGGTGTTGAATCAGAAATAAATGTAGATTCATTATTTGGATCTTCAATAATAGGTACTAATTTTTGTAAATTTGATGGAGCATTTTTAAGTGCTGAACTTCGACGAGAACTAGAGTTAATTGATTTATATGGTAATGAATAAAAATCTAATGCCCAACGAACTTTATCACAAAAATGTGAAAATGGAATTTGATAAAAATTTATTGGCTTCAATTGTTCTTTTGCGATAAAATTCATGAAGAAAAATAATTTTATACTTCACTATAACTATATAATGTCATATGAAATAAATAAAAATGGTTTAACAGATCATATGGCACGTTAGAGAATAGAGCAAGGTATAGTAGATGTGACTGGTTAAAGTTTTAAAACGAATCCTAAACTACAACTTGAGTCATCGAGAAGATTAACTAAATATATTAATTTATTCATGAATAAATATTTTTTATTTCCACCTTTATCTTTAATATTGTAAATTGATTAAAATATGATACTTTACACGTGTAAAACAGATGTCGCTACTACTTATCGATGCAACAAATTTGCAATTATGTTTTTTTCTCTCTCTCTTATGCTACATAAATTTGTCTCTTGATTTATACTAGAGTGTGAGTGTGGACATGAGCTGATGTAAATATATGTTGAGGAAAGGGAGACTCATCCACATCCACACCGACACACGTTACGATAACCTTGAAAGAGCGATATGAAAGCCTTGCTTTTTATGGACTATGCGTTTTGCATTGTTACGAATCGTTATCTTCGCAAAAATATCAATTATAAGTAACAATCAACGTTGGAAAATATTCAGTTTAATATAATATCATTAAGCGCAAGAAATTTAACGTAAGTCAATTTGCCGCTATGAATGTTGGTAGCATCTTCTATAATATTCATTCCTTTTATAGAATATTCATAAATAGATCCAAAAGATAGTTAACGATGCGAAGATATAGAATATAGCTAATCTAGAGCCGGATACTGATGAATTCTATTCATATATTTATACCATTATGTAGATCACTATAAGAACTATTCGAGATATCCAATTTCTTAATCTTTTTATTTAATATTTTACATAATTGACCATTTTCAACGAATGATATTAAGATTGATTTACAAAATATTCAAAACTGAGACAACTAATAGATTGGGACACAAGTTTTATCAAAGATCAAAGAGATTTGAAATTAAATGATGAAGAAAACAAAGTTGTGAGTAAGCGTGGGCGTTGTTGTTAGTGTCTGATAGTAAAGTCTATCCTAATGTTAAATATGAGAGCGTTGGTTAGCCACTGCTGGTTTTTGAACATGTATAAATTTAGAAAGATATTGGCCAAATTTTGTTTCAGTGAGTAGAACGTGTTTGAAAGTTGGTGATGGAATAATATAAATGAAAAACGTAATCATCTGTGGAATGAATGAGATATAAAAGGTAATTAAAGTTAAATAAATGAACCAAATACTTTCTTCATAATTACATGCATCTAAAAATAATACGATGAGTTGCGGTAATGCAGATATGAAACAAATAAATGGTCCAATAAGTAGATCGGCTCGTTGACGAGCTTGTTCAGCAATTGTATAACGAGATGGTTTTTGATGACTATGTGCTTTAGAACGACCGAGATTGATAATCACCGCACTTCCAGCGATGAAATTAAGAAGAAAAGGAATAAGTTGATGTGCTAGAGATGTATATTGTACTATAATTCTTTGATGCAATGGAATTTCTCTGACACAGCTGATGTACGAACGATCGGGACGGATGACTATTTTATACTCAATGATAAGCGTGTAAAGAGAACTAAATAGAAATATAAGTGTTACTATGCTAACTAATTTAGCAAATCGAGGAGTACGAAACAATCGCGAGTGTAAAGGCCATGTAACTGCTAGAGCTCGTTCGACAGTGACAAAACTCATGAGCCACATGCTAATATTTTTGAAAGTTGTCATTAGATAAGGTAACGATTTACATAAGATTTGATTTGTAATCAAACCCAATGTCATTTGTTTAACAAAAATTAAATATATAACACGAGTTAGTAGAAGAACAAGTACAAACTGACTAATAAAACCGTTGATCAGAAGATAAAGACCCGCACCAGCTTGTCGTGCATTTTGTTTCATAAATGTACTAATTTCCAAAGTGTTGAAGATCATTCCAAAACAAAAGAAAATAATAGGTACAAGTAAATGAAGTCGATTGCCTTGTGTTTGCTCTATCAACATTTCAAGTTCGATAGAAAACCGACTGGTAGAAAATTGACAAAGATCACCCAATACACATTTTGGACAAACACAAGCAAAATCACTACTATTTCGCAGATTGCCTTGAATACAATAGCCTTGATTGAGACAATGACCACACTGCATATCTCGTTGTTCGTAAGTTAAACATTCGCTACGATTTGTTTTCATTTTACAATAGCAAATATAATTTTGCGAATAGAAACATGACTGAACTTCAGATTGCCAACAAAAAGTGTTAAGAAGTATCATAGGCGATCGGGTAGAAATTGACTTACATTGCGATGGCTGAGAACTAAGATCAGTAGTAAAATTTCGTAGGCTATTACTACAATTAATATAAAGCATGCTCAAATGAACAGCCACAAAATCTCGTTGACGTTCATATGTATACAATAGACCAATTTCAGGTAAAGTTATATTGTATATTGAATCTCTACTATTGATGATGAATGTAATAGGAAAAGATGTTAATTTTGGTATTAGCATTTGCTGTCGTAGCTTTGGATAGTCTAGAGATATTTTCAATAACTGTAAGAGAAATGCCTCTTCATTAGGCTTTCGTCTGTGTAACATTAGCATAGACTTAGATGATCCATCAGATTTAGAGCTATCATGAAAACACCAATATTCATGAGGAGGTAAAGTAGAAAAAGGTAAACAGATTCCGTTTGTTGACGAGCAAGTCGAAATTTGTTTTTCACAAATAGTATTACGAAAGAAACAATGAGGTGGTAAATACCCATATGGACAAACACATAGATCTTCATCTAGAGCAAGAGCATGTAATGAGCACTTGTTTTGTTTGAGAGGTTCTGTACATAGATTTCCTTTCCAACCACGTTGACAAAGACAAAAATAATTATTTTCATCATTATTGCCGATCATATAACATGATCCATTATTTTGACAATGATTGTGAAGACATCGCCATGGTAAAGAACGATCAGAAAATCGAAGTATTTTAGCTAATTGAAATACAGGAAGAATTCCAATGGTGTTAATTGGATATTCCCATACTGACAAGAGTTCCAGTCCGTCATATGCTTGAAACTGAACTGAATAATTACCACTGAGATTTGAATAAGAATATATTAAGTAAGCTTTATGTTTTTGAGGAAACTCTTCATCGATATCGACAAATCTTTGATGATCAATAATAAAGGTTCTGTTGTGGAGTAATACAACCAGAATATGAAGTAGTGGTGGCAGGTCTGAACGATGTCTACGGTCAAAACGAATACGTATAGTAACACGAAGCCGATCATATTGACAACGATGTCCGTAAAAACTAGGTGGACAGAAACATATCGGTTCTTGCCCAACTTTACTCAATAAATAGAAACCACGATTGCAATACCCATGTAATTGTAGATTAGAAATACTCTTGGCCGGAATATTTGGCGATGATGTTGTCGATGTGTTAAATAATTCTTCGTTATCACAGAATAACAGATAGTTTGAACGACGTCGAACTTTACTTATTCGATAATTACTTTCGTATGGATTTGGACACCAAAATAAGTGTTCATTGTTAGGACAACTATATTTGTGAGAACAACGATCAAGCGTGCAAGTCTTATTATCATAACAAGCAAAGTTGTTTTCGATACATCCATGTCTGGTCCAAAAGCAGATAAGCTCATCTGTTTGATCATAGCAATCAATAATACCATTGCATATAACTGTATATGATAAGCATTTTGTTGCATTATCACATAGAAATCGATCACCTAATATATGATGATCAGGACAAACAAAAACATTTCGTTCATCTCGTCCCCCCATACAATCAAGTTGTCCATCGCCTGCTTTCCAATAATCTATGCAAGGTCGGTGCAATGTTTGATTAATAAGAAAGTGTTGCGTGATACAAAAATGCTCTTTAGTATTATTACATTGATCTTCAAGTATCCATCGAGATTTTGTTATGAAACAATTCAGTTCATCTTCACCATTGTCACAATCAAAATCTCCATCACAAAAATTATCTTTATTAATACATTGTCCAGTAGTTCGACATTGATACATGTCTTGAGGACAAATCCATTGAGAACAGTTTTTTTCGTCATGGCCATCTCTCGTATCTCGAACTGAATCACAGTATCGATGGAATGGTAGTTGCATACTATTAACACGATCAATATTATCGATGTATGCACTACGAAACACCCAACAAGGATATTCTTCTCCAAAATCACATCGAAAATAATGCCAATTTAATGCATTAGAAAGTTCGTCAGTCCCATCCGCACATTCCTCTATTCCGTTACCTAATAATTGGTAACTAACATATTGTGTGATGGATAAATCCGAGCACCGATAACGATATGGAATAGCGATATTGTACTGATCATTTTGCTCATCCTCACCAAATAAACAATCAATATATCCATCATTGATTCGCCGTATAGCAATTGGATAAACAAATTCATTACAGATGAATGATTGTGAATTAATTATTAATGGTTGAGAGTATTCTCTAGAACAAAATAGTTTTTATTTTTATGTTAGAAAACAGTATGAATAATGACGACTAACCGTAATAAATTATTCTGTAGTTGATTCTTCACCATTTGACAAAATAAATATGAAAATGGAAAAAATGGCAGATCCGCAAATGATAGGTAGTTTTCAAAACTCCAACAAGTACCATTCGTTGATGTTATCAGAGTGCCCGTGCATATAAATGTTCCATTAAAACAGACAATATCAGGAGTTCGTTTTGGTAATGCAACTCCAAAGTTTTGTCCATTATAAAATGAGACAATACGTGATTTATTATAAAACATTGTAAGAACAGGTGATAATACAGGTTGTTCAGGATATTGAATAAAATCAGGACAATAGGCAATAATATGGTTCCATGATATTTTGCGTTCAGATCCAACCAACAAGTGACGAAGACCTAATGAACATGATGTCGAATTCTGCAATGGAGGTAGAACTTCTAGAAAATATTTTAATTTAGTATTTATAGAACGAGTGTGAGTGAGAATATGAAGATCTACACTCATCTCTTCGCTGAGCGAAAGATACTGACTATGTCCATTCTGTCGACAAATGCCATTGGCCATTGTTGGAAATCCTTGTAATTCACATTGATAAGCTAAATCTCGAGCATTTTTACAACTGTTTTGATGATGAATTAGATTTGACCAATGAATACATTGACCATCTCCACAACTAAATTCATCTTTTCGACACAAACGTTCATCACATTCCCACATCGTTGGCGTTGGACATAATCCAAAAATATTTTTTATTTTATCTACTTCTTGCTCATCACTTGAATCCATACAATCAAACGCACCGTCAAACAGAAACTCATTTGGTACACACATCGAATTACGACATTGAAATTCATCCGATGAACAAATTTGAAGTTCAAATTCATGACATCCGACTTCATCAGCTCCATCCTCACATTGTACTATACCATCACAAACTTGTCGCCATTCCAAACACAACAAACCTGTATTACATTTGATCATATCAAATAAACATGTGTACAATCCCGTTTCACGAGCAGCGGGATTGCGTAACTGATCTTTCGATAGCTCAGCAATAGTTGACAAATTAACAGGAAGAAGATATTGGCATACTGTACCTACCCGATCATGCGTACAATTACAGATATAACTGTTAAATAAGTTATCATCTAAATAATTTGCATAACGCTCAACAGTTTCAAATGGAATACGCCATTTCAACAAATCATCTGCAGTAGTATTATTATCTTTTAATGTTGAGAAATACCATGTGGTTCCTTGTGTGCATGATGACACATTATTCGAAATTAAATTATGATCTCTACAAAATAAACGTTGGTCATACAATAAACAATTATCATATCCATTATGCGAGTATAAAATCCATTCGAAACTATTAGTTGTTAAAGCATTATCGCATTGCAAAAAGAGTATTAATATTCCACAGAGAATCACAAGCATTATTCAGTATTAACTTGTCAAAAAGACTTCTATTTAGTATCACTTGGTGAAATTGATAATATACTTGTCAAATAAAATTTTATCAGTATTTAACAATTTATCTTTATGTCATGATTAATTATATTCAAAATAATATAGTAAATATTACGTCTGTCATTATAGACATTATTTCCGTCATATTAAAAGTCACATAACTAAAATAAATATCGTTTTATCAAAAGTATACGCATTCATCGTCGTTAGTTTTTAACGTTCAGTCAATTACATATTGTATATATAGATATGGACTATAAAAAAGGTTCCTGCACTCTCAAAACTCATTCATTTAAAGGGTGAGGGTGGGTGTGGGTGTGGGTGTGGGTGATGAGCGATATTTCACTTATATCCACACCCACATTCCCACCGACACCCACCTCATACCCACACCCACCCTAAAGCAACGCTACTGGACACTTGGAGTCAGAGATGAAACCGGTACTATCTTGACGATGTGAATTTTGGATGTGAACACAGTGTATATGAATGAGGATGTGAGTGCATAATATCTACCGTACTCACTCACTCATCCCTCACCCTCAAGATATTAGTCATAATATAATCGACTTTAAGATAAGAACTGCATAGAACGAGTCATTTAGTCCGTCTTTTGCTCACTTGGATTAAATGCTTATTTATATTCTAAAACTTTAAAAACTTCCACTAGTTAGCTTAAAAAATAGGAGCAGTAGATCTTTATTTTGTTGCAAAAAGAAATGTCTTTGAAAGGTAATTTAATTATAAAAGTCTTTGGATGAATTAAATTGCATGAAACTTTTCATGACTGGATAGTTGCTTATTGATCAATCGTTGAAATGGTTTTTCGACGAAAATGAACCAAATGACAGATATGATGAGACAAATTATGAATACAAGTATTAAGCATACAATTGTTAGAATATCAATTGAGTAGTGTGTAGGATTAAATATATGACTGTGAGTCATTATTAATTCGAATGCAATTCGACAATGAATTTCATAAATCAAATAACTCAATTTAGCAATTGCTGTCCATATAGGATGCGATAGAAATGATCTAATCCATGGACTATAGTAAGGATGTGTTGGTGGACAAATAGCTGAAAAGAGAATAAATGCTTGTGCTATTGCAAATATTTGTCGCATAATGGAAACCATGATTGTTAATACTACATCATTGATTGCATTTGGTTCAGTTTGTATCGTCAATATGATCATAAATAGGAAAATGAATGTTAAATACGTATACTTTTTAATCGGTCCATAACGAATCATAGCGTTATTTTTTGCGTTGATTAGATTAAATGCGAGAATAGATCCAATTATAAAACTTGAATATCGACTTAATAATGACATATACATTAGTTCCATGTACGGTTTTACTGGGCTGGGATCAAGTACCTTTTCAAATCCCAATGTAACATTATATTCAACTGTAACCCAATCAAAAAACCGTTGAGGCATTAATAGTTTCAAAACATTATTTTGATATAAAAGCACTAATAAATTCATAGTCTTTGGATTAAAAATAAGCATTGAATAAACAATGGACAATATAACAAGTATATATAATGCTGAATAAGTCCTCTGATAATTCAGTTTCGAGCTCGTGACGATATGTAGAACGATGGGTAGTATAATATGCATTTGCATATCAAGACTGACACTCCAGAGTGCAGCAAAGCCCCATGACCATTGGTCCATACTAACATAGTTTTGATAAAATAGCCAGAAACGTATCCAACCTCCTTGTGATTCACCTAATGTCAACATTATTATGGTAATCAGTAAGATACCTGGCCAAAACCGACAAGCACGTCTCACTACATACAAAGGATATTCTTTCAATGAGAAAGAATCTCGTTGTTGAATAAATTTTAGTGTGAGAAGAAAACCAGATAACACAAAAAATGTTTCTAATGATAACATTAAAATAGGTAAAAATCTGTATGTATAACTATTCAAGTAAGTAATCCATTGTATATGTGGATAAGGTGGAATAAATGTATTCAATAAGTTACCGATATGTAGTAAAACAATAGTTAAACAAGAGATCGATCGCATTCCATTGATCGGAGCATATTTTTCTGATTGAAATAATGAGTAAATATCTTCTGTTAACTGCCACATATTCGCTTTTGTAAATAAAAAATATATAAATAATAGTAGAACTGTATTATGGTCTTACTATTGTAATAAAAATCAAGGATGACGCAAAGAAAGCAGAAAAGACATGAAGCAAATATCGTTAGGTAGTCATATCTATACATCATCCCATCACCTATATTATTCTTTTTCTTTTCTATACGAATGAAACGTGCGTCTAGGTGCATCGTTTCGACGATAAAAACTATAGTTTTTCTATTGCACAGTCAATTCATATATACTCAGCAGTTTTAATTTATAAACTACTTCTATTAATATTACTCAACATTTATATATTGTTAAATTTCAATAATTCCTTTGGTTAACTTCATTGGTATTTACCTTTTCTTTATCGAACTTATAGAGATTGTTGCGCTTTATTATAATTATATGTAGTCAATAGTTAATTTGAATAAAGAAGTGTTATTTAAAATAATAGAATTAATAAGTAATATTAATTCAAGAGAATATTTATCACACTACTACTTCTCTATTAGATCATATTTAACATTTTACAATTCTTTTTATCAAGAATGTCTAAAATGAAACAATACTCAATCGATCTGACAAACAAGGATAACAAGAAAATTAGCATTCGTATTCATACATCCAACTAGTAGTGGATCAGCTGAAATCTTTCAGGTGCAGTAATTACCATGTGGTGGACCGACACTAAATACAGTATACTGTATATTTATTTAAACTGCGGTGAAAATTTGTTTTTAGTCGTTAGTAACAAGATATTGAAACTTACTTGTATGCATTTATTATTCAATAAAACATTATGGTTTGGTATAATCTGAACGTTCTCATATTACACCGATCTATAAGACATCTGTTATAATGAAAATTATTGATATCTAGTCTACAAAAGAAAGAGAAAAACAAAAAATAAGCTGGTGAAGATTTTCATTGAAAACTCAATTATATGATTTATTCTATTTTTACTTGCAAAACAAGTTACGTGAAGTTTTTTATTGAAACATTGTATTGTGTATTGACTAACAAAAAATAATAAAGAAATCTAAAAAACCTATGTGTAAGATGAATTGGGTTATTTATGAGTTTTATTCTTTATTAATAAAAAATACTTTAAAAGTGACAAAAAAGAATTATTTAACAAAAGTCATTGTATCATCAAAAACGTGTTTCAGTCAAGATCGATGTCAAATTTTTGAATTCGATTGTTGTCTGTGTCAACAACATAAAGATTACCGTGTCGATCAAATGATAAATCGCTTGAGTATTGAAGCCGCACGATTATACTTCCACCTTCATTTTCACCAACAATATGAGTACCTTCTATTGCACCTGGCAACCAGCGTGTTATTTGATGAGTGTTATAATTCGACAAATATACATTACCTATATGATCAACAATCACGCCTATGGGATCAAACATTGAACTGGGATTTTCGTCAGAAACTTCCCCTGGCGCAATAAGAATGCCTTCAATCGTATTTTTCATCCATTTCATTACACGATTGTTACTATAATCCACTATATAAACTGAATAACATTCATCGACAAAGATATATATAGGAAAGTCGAGTTGATTCAAATGATTTCCTTGTCCATTTCCGCCTGCTACAATTGTAATTTCTCCATCTTCTTCTTGCCAACGTCTGACTTGATGTCTTTCACAGTCAGAAATATAAAGATCTCCATTATCATCCAATGCTAAACCGTAGCACGCAATACTATCTATTAATATTTCTTGATCATGCCTGTCTTGAAGAGACCATTCTACCACTCGTCTGTTTCCCTGATCACAAATGATGATATATTTCTTCTCTTTATCCAGAATTACATCTACTGGACCATACAATTGATCGATTTTATCTCCACGTTCATTTCCACCTGCAACAACTACGCCTTCGTCTGCATCAAATTCCCATCTAACAACACGATGGTTCCCAGTGTCAGCAATATAAATACTATGATCATCATCATCAACATAAAAACCAGAAGGTCGACTTAATTGATTTGATTTATTTCCTTGTCCATTTCCTCCAGCAATAGTAGATTCATTTTGTTTCCATTTCGTATTGTTATTAATAATAACAGAAGGAGTTATTCGTTCTATAAAACATTTAAAAAAATTTCAATTTATTGTCTTTTCTTTCGATTTAAATTTTTTTTTCAAAATGAAACATATTTTGTTTTTATGTCGTTACTCGAATAAAATATCTAAGATTAAATAAGAAAAGCTAATTTTAACAATAATTCCTCTTCTATGAAATGTTTCAAATAGTCGATCAGCTAGTTTTAATAAAATCATACTTCTTGTTGTCGTTGTCGTTATTGTCGTTATTGTTGTTGTTCTTGTTGTTGTTATCTCAGCTGTTACTACTTTTTCTCTTTTCGTTTTGTTCGATAAAACAGTACTTGTTGAAATAGTTATAATTATAACAATAAAAATTATGAAAACTATAATCCAAATTAATTTTTTCTTTTGAAAATGTTCATATCTAAAGTAAGAGATTCGTTTGATAATTTGTTTTTTATTCACAATATATAATTACAATCTTCTTAATCGTGTTGTATCAGAGTCGACTATTGTAGACTAAAATATTCGAAAAGAAAATAAGATTATTTTCTTTCTATCTAATAAATTACTTCATCAGGTCCGACTGTGTTGTTGATATTCATAGTTATTGTTTTATCTGAACTTGGATATTTTTACAATCTAAAATCAAAGGAAATAGAAATTATTTTTTTTATGAGAATAATGTGAAAATGATATCGTTCTTCCTACTTGTTATGAATTAAAAAGAAATTATTTTGTATGAGTTAAATAAAAACAAATCTTCTCTTAAATAATCACTTTAAAATATTTTGTAGCATTTGGAACAACAAAATAACATCCTATATCTATAAAAATATTAATCTTATTTCCTTTTTTAAAGTCGGCTTTCAATAAAATATTTATCATGATTTTTTACAACAATAAGAATAGAATATTTATTGTTAGAAATATTTTGTATTTAACATTGGAAAATTTTTCCAGATGTTCATTTTGATGAACACTTAACTTCTAAAAAAAATATATTTAATGACGTCTTCATAATTTTCTGCCGATTATTTATCGTTCTCTTCGTTGTATCATCACATAATGAATCTTTTTTGCGATCAACAGAATAATGACTAAAATTTCTTTTTTTTGTTCTGTTGCATGTTCATAGATAATAGATGTGAAATATGAGAAAAAAGTTTCTAGTTTTTTCTTCCATATTCTTATCTTTCTATCCTTTTATGTATACAAACGACCGAAATTGTAAAATAGTTGACATATCGTTTGAAAAAATCAATAAAGAAGACAACACTAGCTTACTTCTTTGAATGATGGTTTTCACCAAATGAACATTGAATCTGAAAGTTTCGATTGAGAATTTACTAATAACTCTGTAGATTCATGTACCTGGAATTATGTAAGGTCAGAATTGGATGAAGAATTTTTGGAGAAGCATGAACTCGTCAAAGAAGTAATGTTTCATTCTGAAAATAATACAATCGATGGCTATCGGTATTTCACTGTAGGTGAAATTATTCGCGCTATGGTCTTGTAAAAATAACTGGCGTGCTTATATTTTTTAGAATTATTAACATTACATTTAATAACAATTTTATTTTTTTTTAATTTTCTACTGAGATAAGATTAATATCTTGATTACACAGTGTTTCGACTACAAAATCGATTTTTATACGAATTTTCCATTTGTAAATAAAATTCTGATTCAACAGAAACCTCATTCTCTTATTGTTATGTTCAATACAGGTTTGAAATTGACGAATATTTTCGAGAAATAAATCATTATATTTAACGAAGATTTGAAAAGAATTTCGTATTGGTTTAGTTACAAGTTTGAGTACACCACATGATATGTTAGCCAAAAAATCTAGTAAATACATTCAGAAATTGTTCCTACGAAGCCATTTTGAAGGTGGGTGCGAGCGTCGATATGATCAAGAAGAAAATACACCCACCCCTCAAAACGTCTAATTCTATCAACAAGTTTTCGTTTGTTGCAAGACTTGAGTGGGAATTTTATTCATAAAGCAGAAACAAAGAAAAAGAAAAATCTTACAGAATGATACATCACTATTAGTATTATATAACTGATAAGACTTCAAATATCCAGTAATATAATGCGAAGATAAGAAAAAACTTCTGTTGAATACTTCAAATCATGTATTAATAAAAGGCACGTAGCTTGATGATGTGACTGAGAGTGTCAGAATAGAATAGCTACGCATCCATATCTTCACAACATATTAGTTGGAAGAGAGTCTAAAATGTTGACGGATAAATGTAACTGAAAGTTAAAATAGATTAGTGCAAAATTTTGTCACAATGTGAGAGAATACGGTGAGTAATAGGCCATAAATGACTAAGTCAATATCATTTTTACAGATAAGAATACGAATCTACGCATCATCTTTTTCAAGTTTTCTTTCTTTTCTTCGTTTGGTTGGGAATAAAAACCAGTATAATCATTTCTTTCATTCTCATTATTTAGTTTCTTTGTTATTGAGCATGTTACTCATTTGAACATATAAAACACACTTTATTCGTTTAGATGACAAATACAAAAATGAATATTGAACCTTTTTCGATATCCATTTTACTACGATAGGCGAGTGGGTATTTTTTTATAAGTTTTAATAATAAATAGATAAAGAACTGCAGTTTTCACTGCTCGAAACAAGAAATAAAATCGCATCGAGCTGTGCAGCTCAGAGATTTCCAAAAAGATATTTAATATCTCCAGTCAAGCATACTGGACATAGTATATCGAGTTATATGAAAATTTTATGAGTTTAATTTTGATGTAGTCATTTAAATCACCCACTACAGCGTTACAAATACAAACTGTACAAATTCAACTTTTATAATTCCAATCAACGAGAAGTTATACATGCTTTACTAAACTTTTCCTACCGAATTTCACCCAAAAATCGACTTTTTTCGAAGACTTTTCAACTTCTGAGAAAGCATAAAAGTTTTGCAAAATTTTATTGAGATATCAGGAGCTCTCTTGGGGCAACTCTTGCCTGTATAGTTTGATCCATTTTCATCACTTTTTTCACTCATACAAACAGAAAATGGGAGAGTAGGTGTCTTGATGTGAGAAAAATACATATTTGAAGATATAAGAAACAAGTTTAGATACATTAATTTTCATTAACTGAGTTTTTTCATAACACATAAATTTATAGTTAAGCGTGAAAAACTATTAGAAAATAGGCGATGTCAAATGAATAATATTTGTTTTTGATTTTATCGTTAGAAATAAGTTGCAATCTAATTAACATTAAAAGCAGAACTTAAAAACCGTTCAGCTCTTATAGCAGAAATTGTGCAATCTGTTTTATGTTCTTAGATTTTGAATTTCATCAAAATTAAGCGTTCAATAGTTAAATTCAGAATGCCTCATTCATCTTCCATGATTACACAACTATTTATTTTATTTTCGATCGTTGGTTCTCTAACATTCGCTTTACAAGCTGCAGATTTTTTTGTCCATGACTTGCCACTTTTGCCAAAAGGCGCTTCTTCTATTCGTATGCATGCTGGACTTCTACCTGTCAATCCTCAACATCATGGATCTTTGTTCTTTTGGCATTTTGAGAAAAAATATCCTAGTGACAAATTAAGAACAGTCATATGGCTTGATGGAGGTCCTGGTTGTAGCAGTGTGCCTGCAGCCTTGATGGAAATTGGTCCTTTCCGATTTCAAGATGAAAATACAATGATCGAAAATGATGGATCATGGCATTTGTACACTAATCTTCTGTTTGTAGATCAGCCTGTTGGTACTGGTTTTTCCACCATTGATACGGACTCATTTATTCATGAACTTGATGAGATGGCTGATCAGTTTCTTGGCTTTCTTGATCAATACATCAAGATTTTTCCAGAACTACTTGAAAATGATATCTACTTAGCAGGTGTATCTTTTGCTGGTCAGTATATTCCATATATAGCGAAAGCGATTCTAGAACAACGATCAACATTGAAATTACGTGGTCTTCTGATTGGAAATGGTTTGATTGATCCTGTTACCACATATAAATCATATTTACCATTTGCAGTAGCAAACAATTTAGTCATTGAGAACTCTGAGCTCTATGATCATATTAATATTCAAGTCAGACAATGTGAAGACGCACTTTCCAAGCAAGTACATGTTTTCGAGGAAGAGTGTTATTCTATCCTCTGGCAGATAAGTGGGAACGGTGCAATGAATAATTATCACGTAAGAAATCAAAAAGGTAGATGTTTCAATATCTACGACATTCGGCTAAATGATACGAGATCGAAGTGTGGCGAAAATTGGCCGCCAGATTTAAAGTATGTCACATCGTACTTACGTCGACAAGATGTTACGTCAAGCATAAACATTAATGATAAAAAAGTGAGATGGGAACTGTGCCCGGATTCTGTTTTTGATGCGTTTAAAGCTCAACATTCTCAGCCATCGATCACATTGTTGCCTAATTTACTTCAGCAAATTCCAATTATTCTATACAGTGGTGAATATGACTTGATTTGTAATCATTGGGGGACCGAAGCAATGATTGATAGTATGACATGGAACAATGGAACCGGTTTTGATTTTGGTAATGGAACATTCTCTCCAAAAGATCCATGGATTGTGGATGGTGAATCTGCTGGTCTCATTCAAAGTGCACGTAATTTAACTTACATTCTTTTCTATAATGCCGGTCACAGGGTAACCTATTACTATCCACGTCGATCACGTTTTATGCTACATGAATTCATACAGTTGGATCTAGTCACGTTTCCTGATACAACAACAACAAGAAATAATACAGAAGAATCTACTCAATCAACACGTCGCATTGATTTTATTGTATTGACTATTATCATTATCACTATAGCTTTGACTGGTCTAATTTGGTTTTTTGGGCACAAACGGTATCCGAATAAACTACCAAAACCATTCAATATTATTCGTGTGCTTCAATCAAAAACTCACAATATTGAGCAACAAGAATGGGTGAAGTACTCACTTTTGAACGATTCCAATGCAGATTTAGATGTCGTAGATAGTGAAACTGATGTATAATGCACCAGAAATGTCAGTCGCGGTCATGACACAGGCATGGTAGCAGCTTCCACTATGTTCTTATTAATGCGTATTTCGAAAAATCTACCAATTTTTTCAAATAAATCTATAATGCTTTAGATTTTAATTTTATTATAATTCAGATTAGACAAAGACCTTTCCCTAATCATTAGAATATTACAGGTGAGGATGTGTACGTAAGTGAACAAGAAATATTCACACCCACACCCTCATCCTCATGCGAAAAGAGCGAAAATTACTATACTCAGTCTAGAGTTTTACTGTGGAAATAATTATTTGAATCTTTTTCTTCGATTATGGTTTGTCGTTGTTGACGTTTAACCGAACGAACATAATTTTGTTCGAAAAGCTTCCCAAAACATTTGTTCGAATACTGCTGCATCGAGCCAAGTGGTAACCCAGTTTCCATCGGATTGAAATAGAAATTTCGTTTTTGTTCGTCGTTGATAGTCTTCTATTTTATTTTTAAAACTATTGAATGGATCGAAGACTTGATCGCTAATGTCAAAAGTAAGACTGCGAAGATGAGGCAAATATATATCCAACATTGGAATATTGTTGAGATTCAACAAGTCAATCACAATGTGTTCGAGACGAGGAAAGAGTTGACCAATGGTTTGAATTATATTTTCATTAAAAATGTTTTTAACATCTGATAAAACGAGAGATTTCAGTTGATTGTTTGTTTCGATCTGTAATGTTTGATACATAACTAATTGATTAGCGTTCAACTTCAGCGATTTAATATTTTTAGCCTGAGTTAACAATGGAATAATTGTCGTTTGATCCTGTCTGCATACTGAAATATCGAGTTCTTCAATTCTTAAACAATTAACATATGTAGTTATCCATTGAACTAGGTTTTTCTCCGTATAACATATAGTAAGATATCGAACGTTGTCAAAGAAATGTTGACATGATAAAAGAGAGGAATTTCTAGAAAACTGCAAATTTATAATAGTATTTGTTGGAGAAATATTATTATTAGTTGGGCGTACTAATGCCGTTCGAAATTCTGTATTTTGTTGATTTGCTGTGCGTCGTTTTCGACCACAAATATGATTCATTCCATCTGTTTCATTTCGAAGTTGTTCATCATCTAAGATTAATACATGAAAATTGTTCTTTTCAACCCAGAATGATGTTTGGAACGAGATGAGTACTTCTTCGAGAATGCGCTGCTTTAGACGAGATAGACTTGTTTTCAGAATAAAATGTATCAAATATAATAATGTATTTTGAATGAACTGTTCCCAAGCACTAGCATTGATTAAAGCAACATGAACAGTTACTTCTAATCGACAAAGATTTGGTGTAGTTCGCAGCAATTGTACAACCATTTCAAATGTCGTTGGATCGTCTTCTTCAAAGTGTAAAATCAATGTCTGAAGGATTGCAATATAATCCAGCTTGATTGACATTTCTCTTTGAAAAAGATATGGTCCTTCCTTGGTTAATCGAACATTAAGGTATCGAAGATGAGAAGCAGATTGAACTATCGATTGTAGATCATACCATTGAAAAGGCATACCTGTAATAGTCAAATGTTCAATATTACATAAAACTGGTCTCAAAGGTACTAAGGATACTGACCTTAAATAATAGTTTTCAATAGCAATCGAGAATCGTTTCAACGTTGGCAGATAGAATAGTTGAATAATACTGATTGGTAATGGTAACATTGATTCATTTGCCACTTTGATTGATAAAGTATTCAGATTTTGTAGATTACTCAATGAGGAAAGAGCTCTATCTACTTCTTTCGAATTAATGGTTGCGATATCAAAATGAAAATATAATGTGCGAAGAGTTTTAAATGGTGTGAATAATGGAAAGAATTCCAGAAAAGTTTGAATTTGACGTGGTGTATTCCATTCTGATAAGACTAACTCTGTAATTCTATCAATCAACAATGGAAATAGACTTACACATAGAAGGAAATCATCCTTTCGACAATGTAAAAAATCGAATTGAAATTGTTGACATTGACCAATGAGATCGTCGATACGACTATTCAGTTGTTCACTAAATGCCACTAATATATCAACACCATTTGCATGTTTTTCGAGAAAATCAAGCAAAATTTCGTTGGGTAACGACTCAAGTTTGAGTAATGACATGTCTACTGCAGTTGGAGCAAAAATAAGTGTATGTTGCGTAAGATATACTTCATCTTTTTATTTATCTTTTTCTTGTGAGTCATTCTTACGAAAGATAGTGTATGTATGACGTAGGATGCATTGACATTTTCCTTTTCTTTCTTTTTCTCGTAGACTACGCACGTTAATGTAGGCTTACCTTTAGCATTTTATTATTCATATATCTATACACCCACACCCACACTCTCGAATGTAAGTTTATTGATAATTACAAAACATATTCTGTTTCATAAGATTTGCTCATTTAGTTTACTTTCGAAGTAAAAGAAAATTTTGATACAAATAATTCCTTTTCATTCATAAATTTAACAATAACTCTTTCAAAACAATGAATAAAATCTATATCATGACTTAAATGAATATTATGACTTAACTCATGACAAAAAATAAGAAAATAAAAATTAATTAATGTACGAACAATTGAATCATTTTCAAGATTAAATTCTGGATCATTAACAAAAACTTGTTCAAAATAACGAAGATTAAAAAATAATGCACCTTTATTATTAAAAGCAATACGTGCTAAAAACAAAATTTAATTAATTAAATAAAAATTTCTTTTTTCTTTTCTCTCTTACCACTATTGATATCACGAAAGAGATGAACAACTGATTGTGACATATGAAATACTTCTTTTGCAAGAAGAGATAATAAATAAGCTAATTGTTTTCCTTGTTCAATCATTCGATCTGTTACAATAACATTTTCATCAATATAAAGTGGAATATTATGAAGAAGAGTTTGATAACGAATCATATTTGATGATGGAATATATTCACATAAATTATTATTTTCACGTCGTGAATATTCTGAATGTTGAAATTCATTTTGTGAATATGAACGACTTGTTTGTGTTATTTGATTCAAATCAATTTTATTTAAATTTTGATGTTTTCCAAAATCATCTATACAATTTCTTTTAATATTACTTGAATAATTTTCAATTGAAGGAGTTAAGAAATCTTTCAAACTTTGAAGAAATCCATCTGATGCTTTTTCTATCGATTGTTGATAATGAGAATCAAAATCTTGTAAAATATTTTCTTTTCTCAATAATAATTTTAGCGCTTAAAAAAATACATTAACATTTTCAGTCGAATAAATCATGAATAATAATTTAACTTACGTTGTTTATTCTTTAATAATCTATCAACAGGTATTCCACGTCGTTTAAGTGTTTCTAATGGTGATGAAAGTTTATCACTAATTGAATGAACTAATGTTTCAAGTGGTTTTCGATGAACAAATCGAGTTAATTCACTGGCAATATCAATATAATCAAATGTTGGAAGATCTTTATGAATATATAAATTCACTTGATTTTTATCATATTCAAGAACACATGAACTACAATTTGTTGATTTATCTAATTTAATTGTTCGATCTTGAAATGTTATTTCACATTCAATTCCTTCACTTTCATAAATAGATAAATTTTTTCGTAATAAATCTAAACGTTTTTCATCAATATTTTCTAAATATTCTCCCTAAAATAACGATCATCTTTCTTCTCATTTCACAAAACATAATTTCTTACTCTTTTATTTACAAATAACATATCCAAACGATAATCAATCAATTCCGAAAGTTGTTTACTTCGTTCTGTCGTAAATATTTGACCTTAAAAATGAAATTTCATATAGAAATCTTCAAAAATAAAGATAGACTAACAAACCAGTATGAATTAAAGTTCTTTTTACAGTTTCCGATAACCATTGTGCTCCAAATATTTCATATAATTTAATTATATCTAATTCATCGGGTGCACATAATGGTTGAAGATCAATTACTGATTGATGATCATCATTAAGATAAACATCAGTTGGTTTTACTATTTCAAAAATAGTTTCATTATTTTCAATTATTCGATAAGCTAAACACCATGGTTTATTCATTAAATCACTTTTTAATGGTTCATGTTGAAATTTTTCTCTTATATTCGACATTGATGCTAATTGTTTTAAACATTTTGTGTAAAAACGTAATTTATCTTTAATTATTTCATCAGTATTTTCTTTTGTTTGAGAAAAATATGATGATTGTCGCTCGATAAGTAATTCAGCTAAAATTTCTGCAGATGGAGAAGAAACAACTCCAATACTAAATAAGAATTTATTTGCTTCAGGACCATAATCGATATAATCAATAAGACCAGATGATACGATGTCATCAGGAGAAGATAATGTTTCGGAACGAATAAATATTTGAGATGGTTTTGAATAAGAAGAAGAAGAGGAATAAGGAATAAATGATTTTTTTGAAATATTTTCAATAAATGTTTTATTAAGACCATCTAATTTATTTAAATACGAAAAATATAATGATGCTGATTCAACTGTTAAGATTTCATATTGTTTATCTATTAAAATATCAAAGGCGATTTGTAAATCTGGACGAGATTTTATTCCAAGTAAACTAATATCAAAACACTGTGAAAAACATCGAATAACATCAGGTAATAATGATGGAAATAATGGACTTGTTTCTATTTAAATCAAATATATTAAAATTTAATTATCAATTAAATTTACCTTTGAAAACTAATTGAGGAATTGTTAAGATAACTTCTGTTGATTGATTTATATGAGGAGGAGAAGATGAAGGAAGAAATGGGATTTGAATAATTTTATTATTTTCCCAAATTTTTAAATAATATTTTCGAAAATTTTCAGTAAAATAAATTAATGATGGTGGTAATTGATATTCGGATTTTATTTTTGAACTTTGATTATGTTCTTGTGTAATATGTAAAAATAAATCTTGTAAATCGGGTGCTTCTTTGACACCAAGTTCTTTTAGAAAAATATATTCTTGTGAAAATGGATTAATATCAATCCAATCAATAATTGATAAATCTTTCCATTGAAGTTCTTTTGCAACAGATGGAAAATGAAGTTCATTAGCTTTATAATTTCGTTTAGTTTCACCATTGATTCCTAAATGAGAAGAATTCGAATTTTTAAAGAAGAAAAAACACAATTAACCTGCAAAACAAGGTGTATTTCCTAAAGCATTTACATCAGTATCACTCATATTATCTCGTTGTTTTAATAGATTTTGAATAAGATCTTGTAGTGTTTGATTATTATCAGTAGAATATAAATGATTCGCTATTGTTGTTATTGAAAAATCAATTGTGCGACATCCAATTGATTTAAGAAATTCAATCGATAGAGAATATTCTGAAGATATGTCAAATGTAATCTGAGGTAAATCTTTCGATAAATTTGCTGAAGAAATATAAGATTGTTGAGGTAATTTCATTCCTTGATTTGTAGAAATACATTTTAATTTTGAAAGAATTATTTTTATATTATTTAAATTATTCGTATTAAATTGATTCCAATATTGTGAAAATAAATGAAGAAGAATATTTGATGTTAATTCATTTTCAAATAAATAATGTTGAGTAGGAAGAAGATAAAATTGAATTAAATTTCTTATTGGAAGTTTTGTTAAGAATAATTTTTTTTCTAAATCTTCTTGAGAAATATTATTGACAATATTTGATGGTAAAACATTCGATGGAAGAGGAAGAATTAATGGAAGATTTAATATATTATAAAATTCAATATTTTCTAATTCAATTATTGTTGATTGACATGTTCCACGATAATAAATTTCGGATAGAATTGTTTTTATATAGGATTTATCTTCAAATATATTTGTACATAACCAATGAAGTAAATTAACTAATTCATCATAAAGAAAAATTGATTCACGAATTTTTTCTCGAATTATTTCATTCGTTAATTCTTGAATTTGTTTATTATGTTTTAATATTTGAATAAATTCATTTTGTCCAATATCAAATGGAATAAGTGGAATTGAAAGAAATTTTTCAAGATATTTTGAATTACTTAAATATGCATGTCGAGATGGAATCAATGATAATTGATTATCAGATGAAGATCGTTGTATTGGTACAAATATATCTTTATCAGATGATAAAAATCCATCAAGAAGAAATTCACCTAAAACAAACAATTGATTATTTTTGCAAGACTCTTCTCTATATGAGAAAGACAACAACTAACGCTCGTCTGGAGACTCGCTCTTGTTCCTTACTCTTAGCACATACTCGCATTCTACTCAGAGATAAACGCAGATCAAAACATATTCGAGCTGTCAGCACCAGTAGCTTGTCGAACTAGCCTTTAACGAGTAAGTGATGTGTTAGTAATCTTATACACAAGAAAGCCAGCAGTTTATGATCTCTGCACTACAAGCAAGAGAACATTCGAAGTTCCCACATCAAAATATCTCAAGAAATGTCTTTTCCGAAAAATCGATCTTTTATATTTTTTTTTGACCTTGCGGACACATAAACAATTCTGTATATGAGAAAGAGAATATATACAAACCAATTGCTTTATTTGGTACTGTTGTTTGAAATGAATAAAATGAAAGAATTGTATTAAGATATTGTGAATGATTATTGACAATATTAATTATAGTTTGATCATAAATAAAACGAATAATATTTCCAATTGATTTGAGAAGTTGTTCATTCCATATTGATATATATGGATCTTGTAAATCAAGATTTTCACGTTCAATTGTTGGAATTAAATGACTATAAATATGCATTCCAATACCTGTTGTTTGATGTGTTCCTAAACCAATAAAGATTTGACCAGATGGAGAGAATTTTTCTTGAAAATATTTTAATGGAATTAAATCTTTTAAGATTTCATCATTTGTTAAATTATTCCATTGTTCTTTTTCGAAAATCTATTAAAAAAATATAAAATAAAAACCAAAAATAAATTAAAGCTTTACTTGATCTGATGGAAATAAAATTTCAATATGAATAATTGAAGGTAAACGTTTTTTTAAAACATTTTCAATTTGTTTATGAAAATCTTCATTAATATGAACTTCTGATTCGACATCAATATGATTTAAAGTAATTGATGAACCATTAATAATATTAAAAATTTGTTCAGTTTGAGTAAATGATTTTAAATGAAAAAATTCTTGTGATTTATTTGATAATTTCATTGATGAGAAAGATTTTTTTCTTTTATTTACTTGAAAAATATTTTTATGATTAATTTCAACAATAATTTCATTAATATGTTTTGTAAATGAAAGAACTTTAGTTAAATAAGATTTTAATTGTATTAAATTTAATGAAGGTTTTATTTTATCATTAGTTGATTTTGTTTGAAGAATATATTTTGTTTTCATTGGAAGAATAACTGAAGTTGATAATGAAGTTTGTTCGTCTTTAGATAATTCTTTTCGAAATGTTGTTAATGATTTACCATTTTGCCAAACAAATGCTAAACAATGTTTACCTGATTGAATCATTGGTTTTTCTGAATAAGAAAAAACTGAAAAAAAACCAACACCAAATTGTCCAACAACATCGATATTTGTATTTCCTTCAGCTATTGTTATAACTCGTTTCCAATCATCTTCATTAAAAATATTTCCATTATTAATTCCACGAATTTCACTTATTAAACAATTATGAAAATCTTCCGGATCGTCATTATTATTTGAAAGATCACATTTTATTTGAAGAATAAATAAAGTTGCATTTGCATCATCAGAGTTTTGAATTAATTCACGATAAACAACAAAATCTGATGAATATCTTGCTAACATTTTATCAATTAACATTCGTTGATTGACTTCGACACGATCTTCAACACCTTCATTTATTATTTTTAACCATAAATCATCCGATGATAAACTCTCTTCAAGCATTTTTATTTAGATTTAAAAATTAAATTTTCATCGACGAACTCTCGTTTTATAGTCATACGATGATATATGAGTCATTATATTATAAAATACACGAATATACGAGAATGACAAAATAAGTAAGGCATACACACGACATCTATACTTTACATATATCCACATAAAAAATAATGATGAAACAATTGAGATTTGAGTTTCAATCAGAAAGTTTTTCGAGTTTAATAAAGTTTTCAAATACTTTTCTTCTATATCCGTTATAAGATTTAGTTAAATAAGTATTAAAATATAGAGAGTGTACGGGTGTGGATATAATAGTCAACGTCTTTATCCATCCTCATTCCTCATTCCTCATTCCTCATTCCTCATAATACGTATTTTTTTCTTTTTGATCGAATAAAAAGTACACGTGTATCGGAGGTATACTTTGTTTATCACATTTTCATATCGATTTTTATGCTTTTTCTGTTTTTATTTTATCAAAAATATAAAAAAAAATAAAAGATTTGAATATACAATTAACAATGCAGTGTTTAACTGATATAATGTTGACGAATAGATGCTGGAATACCCGTGATTGATTGATAATGATATACATCTAATGGACTAAAATCTACTTCACGTTCAATACCAGTATATATGTCCATTCGATGGATCGATATACATTCCACTACCTTGTGTATTGATTCCATAACCATAATTACCAGAACCAATGGTTAGATAATCACTACTGATATTGACGACAGTTATTGGTTGACCAATCATTTTTATAATTTGAATTTAACAAAAAAGAATTGATTAGAAGAATAAGTTTGTTTGTTTGAATATATGAAACTATGAGAGAATATTGTGCGATATTTATATTGTCGATACTGTAGGAGATTGATGTAATTATTCTTGTTGATAAACGTCATTATTGACGTAATATTATTATACAGCACAATAAAGGATAAAAATAAACGTTAACTAGATATTGATGTTTGACGTAAGAAGAGTATCCATGAGTTTATTCTTTGCTAAAAGTATAGGGTGGAGATTAATAAAAAAATAACTATTCGTTACGTAATTTGCATTCAAGAATATTCTTGATTTACCTTTAGCAGTGCATACTTTGTAGACGTTTATTTTTAGTTTTTATCGTACTGTATAATATTATTACGTCATTAATGACGTTTATCAACGACAATACTTACGTCAATCTCCTACAGTATCTACAATATAAATATCACACAATATTCTCTCATAGTTTTATATATTCGGACAAACAAATTCATTCTTCTAATCAATTCACATAATAAAAATGATTGGTCAACCAAATCTTCTCAACAACTTCAATGGTAATTATCAAACCATTGATTTTGGTAATTATGGTTATGGAATCTATACACAAGAAAGTGCAATGTATCGCAATCCATGGGATGGACATATTGGTGTTGAACGTGAAGTAGATTTTACTCCATTAGATGTCTATCATTATCAACCAATCACGGGTATTCCAGCATCTATTCGTCAACATTATATTAGTTAAACACTGCATTGTTAATTGTATATTCAAATCTTTTATTGTTTTGTATATTTTTGATAAAATAAAATCAGAAAAAGCATTAAAATATTCTTAATTAATTTCATAATTAATACAACAAAAAAAGAAATAAAGTCTTTTCCGAATAGAAAAAAAACGAAAGTAATATGAAGATATGTTATATCTTAATACTAAGCGATGGGAATATTTTCGCCAACAAAATCAGAAAATTTTTATTTGAAATTTCATATACAATTCACCACGAATGAAGAAACTCGTCTGTATATTGGAGAACGAAATTAATTAAATTTCACATTTTGCTTTGTCCGACAATGGATATCGAAAGTCTAACAATATATTCTTTGTCATATCCAGAGAAGAAATACTATCTAATATCTAAAAGTCATCTTAAAAAAATTTTCTCTAGAAAAAGTTAAATAAATTGTATATCTTGTATTTATACGTAGGACATCTATCGAGAAACTATTTATATAGTCATACCGAACAGACGAAAAAGAAGAAAGAATAACGATCGATTTGGATGTTCAGTTAGTCTTAAGAAAAACATTCAGTTAGTAGTATATGTCGATAACAAGAATTGAACATTTCTCAAATGAAATATTCTATGAAATTTTCGAATATTTTGATGCATATGCACTTTTTAATGGATTTTCAAATCTTAACAATCGTTTTCAATTACTTCTCAATTCTTTATTAACACGATTAAAATTAGATGATTATCGTCATCGATCAAAAGAACTTTTTCTTAATAATTATGCAGAAATTCTTCATTATCATCGTCATCAAATAATATCACTTCATTCATTCAATCAAAATACAAATGAAATAATTTCAATCAGAGACCGGCGGTATTGCAAAAATTTCATACCGTCCCGTACCGTGTACCGCTTTCACTCGTATCATACCGTACCGTACCGTACCACCTGATAATTTTTCGATACCGTACCGTACCGTTACCGCCTAGAGTCTGAAGTATACCGTCTCGCGAAATACCGTACCGCCAGAAAAATTTTTTAAGTTTTCTCCAAACATATCACGATCCGTTTTATTGAGTTATCGGGTCATATATAGATTACTTTTTCGATGGAAATTGACAACAAACTATAAAAAGAATTATAAGAGCATACGAAAAAAGGAATTCCAAGAACGCATGAACTTATTAATTGATACACAACGTTGCGCAATTTTACAGAAAGAAAGCATGGACAAGTTAAGTGCAAAATTATATAAATATATACAAGTGTTTCATGCACTTTGGTATTAATTTCGGGCGTACAATTATCAAAAGTTTTAAATTAAGAAAAATAAAATAAACTTGTAGAGTGAATTGGCTCTAAAGGTGGCAAGTCAAGTCCTTTTTCGACTCGAATCAAGTTAAATTAAGCCAAATCAAATGACTTATAACTTAACTTAAACTATAACTTCGATTTGAAGATTTTCGAGACGTAACTTGACTTGATCTGTTCGAAATTTTCAGTTATTGATTTTTACTTGACTTGGGTCAAAAAGTTGTTGACTTGCCCATATCTGACCGAAACCATCGTCATAGTAAATGGTTGCACATTTTTATATATCTTTTGGACTAATCGAACTTTTCTTTCTCAGAAATAAGAACTAAGGAATCAAACAGTTTTCAGATGGTTATGTACAGTACTCAAATTTTTAGAAGATGATGAGGTCTCAGATGAAAGTAATATGAGACAGTTTTTCGATCAGTTGATTTGCAGTTATATGTTTGTTAAGAAACGTAGTGCTGTATGAAATGTACGAACTCGTTGTAAACCATAGGTATTATGTGAAGCAAAACTTAATATTTTTCTCAGAAATACCATGGTATCGACCTTGACAGAAAACTAAATGACTATTAGCAAATAATTGCATGAGTTTTCGTAATTTTGATTCTCGAGAATAATATATTAAGTTTCATTACGTTCTCAAAAGTGTTGAATCGTTTAACGATTGCACGTTTCATTTAACAATAATATTTACGAGAAAAACAAAAAGCAATCGATAAAAATCGTTCTTCTACAGCAATTGTTGACATCAATTGGTCGTTAATATATAACAACGACGATGGTTCTCAAACATCTTTATCTGACTTCCAAGGGTCCAAATGAGTGTAGGTCATATTCGACAAAATGATAAGAAATTCAAATAGCTGCGGATAAGAGATTGAGACAGGGTTAGCTTTGCTAAATTCATTTTAACATATAACGCGAATGAAAAACATTTAATAGATGTTTTCGAAAATCATTGCTAAAAGGCTTCTTTTAATATAGACGCGGGAGTGCGGTATAACCCTCTCATACCGCATACCGTACCGTACCGTACCGCCCTACTTCTTTTTTTCCTATACCGTCTCGTCCCGGTACGGTACGGTACGGTACGGTACAGTACTGACACCGCATCCCGCCGGTCTCTGATTTCAATACTTAAATCTGATCTATCATTATTTACATCTCTTCAATCACTTATTCTTTATTCTATTGAATCAAATATTTTATCATCACTTATTCATCAATTAGCTTCTTTACCTAATTTCTATTCATTAAAAATTGATCTATGGATTAAAGAACAAAATCATACTAATATTTATCAATTAATATTTAATCTACCAAAATTAAAATATCTTAAATATGGATCAGTTTATACTAAAAATATTAATGTGGTTCTTTCATTACCAATAGCAACTGATCAACAAAAAACATCAATTGAATATTTTATTATGGATCATGGTTGTTCTATTAAAGATCTTTTTACTTTATTATCATATACACCAAATATTCGTTATTTAAAATTTATAAATACTATGGATACGAATAATTTCAATCTTATTGAATCAATTAAATTAATGAATTTAACAAAACTTTCAATAGACATTGATGAAATGACATTTGATGAGTTTGAAATTTTTATTAAAAAATTGAAAGTTAATTTGAAAATTTTATCATTAGATATTAGACATGACGATATATCATATCTTAATGCTAAACGATGGGAATGTTTTTTTCAAGAAAATTTATCACAATTAGAAAAATTTTATTTTAAAAAAATGGTACATTTTATTGAAAATTATCAAACACCAATGTATTTAGGAGAACAAAATGAATTTAATTCAACATTTTGGATTGAACGACGATGGATATTTAAAGTTGAAAATAATTTCGAAGATTTAATTTATTCAATTCAACCATATAAGTAAATTAGAAAATAAAAATCTCTATTTTTTTATCTAATTTATATTTATTTTAGAAAAAAATGGTATGAATATAATTCGAAATCAAATCAATTATCGAAATCTATTGAATTTGAAATAAATGATATATCACCTGAACAATGGGTAAAATCAATCACTATTAATGATCATATTTATCATGCATTAACTATTACACAAATCTATCATTTACAAATCTCAATGGAAATTTCTCTTGAAGAATTATATAAGATTTTAGTTCTATTACCAGATATTGAAATATTAACATTATATCGATTATCATTTATTGATCCAACATGTATAAGTCATGAAGAACTTCAACCATTATATTTATTATTTCATGAAAATCATTTTCAAAAAATTTCTTTTAATGATGTTCATCAAATGGCAGATGTTCAGTTTTTAATGATTATTTCTCTTCATGTTAATCATCTTCATATTCATTATAATGATTATGATCTTGTTGAATCATGTGTAGAACTTATTTTATCTCATATTCAATCAGAAAAAGATAGTAAACTTCGATTATTATCATTTACTATGCCAAAGTTTGTCAATGATATTAGCGAATATTTAACTAAAATAATTAAAGAAAATAAATTACTTAATAATTTTATTATTGAACAAGTTAAAAATGATGTTTATATTAAATGGATATGATTATATTGTTTTATTAGGATTCTTCTTATTATTGTAATAGAGTAGATTTAATATTTGAATAAATTGTTTATTAAAATACGAAAAGAATATTCATCATTACACAGAAAAACTGTTCAGAGATAGATCATTACTGATAGATGTATCATAGCTAAATAATTTAATTTATAATTATTCAGTACTTTTTGTTGAGGGTGTGGGTGTGGGTGTGGCAATAGAAGATAAACTAACACCCGCACCCACACCCTTGCCTATGATGTTGTTAGCAATTATTTTAAGTTTTTTAAGAAATGTTTTAGAAATTATATAGTATATTGCTGATGTAAGATAAAATAAATAAATGAAATGAAAAGAATACCGTTTCAACGCGGCTCACTCTTTAAAAAATGAAATAAAAACGTTTTTAACGGTTACAATTGAATATCTTGGAAATAAACTATGATGAACGATAACGTAATATGTTTTAACGTCGTCATAAATGTTTTCTATTTGCTTGAGTATGCTAGAGAAAATCAAAGTTTATGCAGAAATAAACGATAATCGGTTGAGATAGCCAATACATCTGGACCAAAAAGTGCAGCACTACAACATCTTGGCTCATATACAATCGAAGCCTTTATCGTTCCATCGGGAGCGATATGTAAAAGTCGCGAGTTGGTCTGAGCAATTACCAGCCATTCATCAGCTGGCAACGGGCAAATATGATACCCATAAAATGGAGACATATAATTACCCAGGTTAAGTGACCAAAGTTTTTCCAGTGTTGACTCACATCGTAGCTCAAGTCGCATGTTGTGGCTTATATTGTTTATAATAAGTGCAAGTTTCTCATTACTATAACGCATGTATTCGATCCGTTCCTCTATTGTGCAGGTCGCTGGTGAATTCCATTGCTTCACAAGGACAATATTTGGTAAGAGACTGTATATAAAAATGTTTGAACCGCCTTTTCTGTTCGACACATACAGTTTACTATTGGAACATGTACAACACAGTAATTTTATATTAGGATCAACAGGAAGTGTTTTACGAGCCATCGTCGATCTATGAAGAGAGACGAAGGAATCTTCATCGCCAAGTACAAAGAATTGATCGAGTGTATCACACCAGCAGATGTCGATAACATTTTCATTAGATGACCATGGAGTCTTTTTAACCACGTCCAAGTTTCGATCGAGTAGACATAAATGATTATTTCGTTTCATTAGTAAGTGCAGTGAGTTACTCGCCATCCAAACGGAACTTCCAAGTGGTACATTTTTTTCTTTATAAGCAGGTGCAAGAGGAAATAAATTGCTTGTTTGTGCTCCAGTATCGTTTTGTGCAGCATCGATTGGAATCAGTGGTAGACGAAGCTGATTAGCTTGTGTGGTGTCTTCTTGTTGGTCATCGAATTTTTGAGCGACGGGTTCATCAAATTTAGGACTCTTTTCTCTGTAAGAACGATCTATACATATCAGTTTATGTTCATATAATTTCCAGTCCATTATTTGGCATTCTTTTGTACAGTAGCGTGCTCGTTTACATCGACTACAAACATGTGATGCATTTGATTGGCCACAACATCGACACATGTTCACTACTCGTTCGGATTCATGTTGGAATATAATTGATGAAAAATCATCGACACGAATGAAAGGTTTACCATCATTCGCACCTATTCGTAAATATGGATTTATAATGCTCATTTTCGTTCCAATTGTAAATACTTCATTAATCAAATGTTTGCCTTGTGTATCTTGAAAATCATAAACAACCATATGATCACAATCATAATTTTCATCTTCAATCACAAGATGAATAGATGGTTTCCAACTAAGAGCTTCATCAATAATTGTTACAGAAAGAACATATCCATTATAGACATGATCTTTTGTTGGATTTATTTCTCTCAATGAAATTGATTTCAAACCAATTAAGGACTTCGATGTCGGTTGCTTAACACGAGGTTTTTGAGTTATACCTATAGGAGCATTTTTATTTGAGGACATAGACGCCGACCATTGACGATGTCTCTTAAAAATATCGATTCGATGTAGATCGGTTAGACGTGAACGACGATCAGGAACAAGAACTGGTATTAGATCAGGTGAACATTCGTCCTCGAATGCAGCTTTAAGAGCCATTTTATTATCGGATTTATAAGGCAAAAAGCATGGTAATTGTATTTTTTCTGCTTCCTCGCCTTGCTTATATGTTTCCTCAATTAAATCATCATCGTCACTGCATTCCACATAACGACAAGCCATCGAATAATATGATTCGGGTACTTTGCAATGATCCCTAGGTGCATCTGTCAAAAATGTTTGATATGCGTTGATTATTTCATCTAATTCTTTCTCCAGCACAACGAATACAGTAGCTTTCATAAACAAAAGTTCATAATAATTTGGATCTATTTTAAGACCAGCATTAGCATCAGATACAGCAGCTTCAAATTGTCCTAGCATTACGTTCATAGCACCGCTAAATTCCAGAAAAAATACGACTTTTGGATATTTTTGTTTACATGAATTGAGAAATCGAAGATTTATTTTGGGCGAACCTACGTGTAACACGACATAACATACTCTAACATCTTCATCTAGTTGCGAATTGATAAGATTTGAATCGTTACAACAACGTTGAAATACTCGATCAATAATACGCTCAATCTTTCTTTCTATATTTTTATTTGGAATTTCAGCGACAGTATGTTCAATACGACAACACTGTGCATATTCATGTATGAATATATTTTCTTGTTGAATTGTTAATGATTCTGATTTTGTAATGAGGTGTAGTGCGTTGTGAAAATGTCGCAAAGCATTGTACATTTTTTCCGCTGTTTGCGAACCACGTTTCGCATGTTCATTTAATACATTAAGATCATAAACAGATGAATCGTTAGAAAGGGAATTCTCGAATTGTATTGCTGTTATAAGATCAGAAAAAGCTGTTGCTTCTTCCATTGCTTGTAAAGCGCTGGAAGGATGGTTTTCGATTATTTGTTGTTTTTGACGTAGAGCTGATTCAAAATCATTTCGTTTTGCTTGAGCATAAAGATTACCTGCTTCACATGCTCGATCAAACCAAATTTTTGCCATTTCAAGATCATTTATTTCCAATAAGCCCCAGGCTAAATTCAACATAGCCTTTGGATCGCCTCTTCTAGCTGATAATTCGAATAATTGGTTGGCTTTTTGGAGATCCTTTTCAACACCAGTACCATTCAGATACAATATAGCTAAATTATTAGACGCCTCAGCACTGCCATGATCAACAGCACGTTGATACCATTGAGCAGCTGTCGAAAGATTTTTCTGAACAAAAACGCCTTCAGCATAACGAAGTCCTAATGAATGTTCGGATTCAGCGACACCAACATTCGTAAGGCCTTTGAATTTAGGATGGTCTGCTGATTGTTCGGCTGCTTTCTCGAGTAGTGTAGTGGCGAACTTAGAATCCTTATTGACACCCAAACCACGATCAGTTAGCCGAGCTAAATTATACATTCCTTCAGCATTACCTTGATTGGCTGCTTTAGCAAAATATCTAGCGGCTTGTTCATGGTTTTGTTTAATATCAATATCACCATGTTCATACTTATGCCCCATAATAACATCAGCAGCAGACGGATCAATTTTGCCAAGTAACTCGTGTCCCATACGTATTTGTTGTGGATCATGACCATATTTTTGTTGCATTTCATTTAAATGTTCTTGCATCGTAATTGGTTGACCTCGTGGATCAAGATGTTCATGTCGTGATTGTCGACATAGCACCTGTTGACTATCATTGATTGCTTCCTGTATTTTGATACTATTTGGATCAAGTGCTAATGCTCGTTCAAACGAATTAATTGCTTTTTCATGATCATTTAAAGCGGCATAAGCTTTGCCAACACGAAAATGTCCCTGCCATGATGTTGAAGACAGCATTCGAGCTTGTTTCGCATCATGAAGAGCGCGATATCGTTGATCTGTTGGATCGTCATCGGCTAACATATTCGATGCGCTCACTTGCTTTTCATGTAGTGCAAGACGACTTGCTGACATATTTGAATAGACAATAGCACGCTGATGGTTTGAAACATCTGTTATGTTGACTGCCTTTGTAAATAATGTAATTGCATCAGAAAAGTTTTGTTCTTTATGAGCTTGTGATCCTAAAGAATTCAGACGTAATACTTCCGATACGTTGGATTCATTAATCGGTTGTTTAGACGGTTCAAACATACTGTCGCTTTTGAGTTCATTTAACTCCTCATCAGAACCACCGAAAACAACTAGAATTGCTACTAATTTTGACCACAACTGATGAAACTCGTTGTTGTCAATAGTTTTTGATGCATGATGAGCTAATGTATTTCGAATAGCTCTTAATTCAATTAACATTTTATCTTCATTGTCAAGTTGTTGTATTTGAGTTGTGTTAAGAGTTTTCGGACGATCAGTATTTAACAAAAGACTCGTTAATGTTGTTAAATCCCATTCATTTGAATCTCCAACACGAACTAACGTTTTTTGGACTGTTGTTAAATTAAACTTTTTACTCTTGCCGATAACATTGGCTAAATACTTTTTTCCACATTTTAACGAATCGTTCCATAATTGACCGTTTGTAAATAGTCGATAGCGGTTTTTAAACACTTGACGAAGAATGATATGTGAATGAGCTAGCAATAAGTCTAATTTAAAATAATTGCGAACGCTAAGCGGTGTATTGGTCATAGTAATATAAATGTTACGAAAACAGAAAATATGTTGAATAATTTAAGTAATATTTATGAAGTTTTGAAATAACTTATTTATTTCGAAACTCAAGTCTGCTAATATGTGCTGTACACTTTTTGCGTCGAGAAAAAAACACGTCTATCAATGCGCGAACGTTAGTGAAATTATACAATATTGTCGTCGCATACTTTCATCCCTGACATCGGTCTAGTCTAATGAAAAGGAAAAAAATAGTAAATACACGTTTTGATAAGATATGAGCGATACTTTTCTACCATTCTTTTTTTCTTTTTTCTTTCTACCTTCTGTTTTGTGATGTTATCGTATGTGCAGAGTCTATAGACATAAAATCGACAATTACGTTTTTTTCCATAAATACCTGCCTTTTCCATTGAATTACAGATGTGAGTCGGTCGGCGTACACCTCTGCATAAGATTTATAATTCCATTTACAATATAAATGCGTTTACAAGAACTTCGAGTTGTACTAGACTATATTTTTTTTAATGACTGTCTGAAACTGGCAAAACTTCTAGCACTATTGAATCATCCTAAAATTACGGGTATGGATGAGGTTTCATAACAATTTTGCACTCTCTTCCACATTCCGCACCCTCGATAAATGATAATAATACATATAGAAGATATTCATAAATATTTCGTTTTGCAAATGTTCAAGATTTAATTTTTACAAGACGTCGTTTTCTCATTTGTTTCGATCTCTGTATGATTCGATAAAAAGGAAAAATGTCAGTTTGTGAATCGCTCTTTTCTACTCAATCGTTTTTCTTCTTAGTCACTCTACAGAATCATAATAATGACTCATAAATTAGTTATTACACAACTTGTCTTTTTTTCTCTTCATTACCTTTAATTGATAAATCAAAGACGCATATTTTGTGTTTTTTTTTCTTCATTTTAGTTTTGTAAACATAATGGAGTCTTTACCCGATGAAATAATCTTATTTATTTTTCGTTATCTACATAAATTCGATATAATTTACTCATTTAACGATCTTAACGAACGTTTTCAACGTATAATCGAACCCTATTACATCGATATTGATCTCACACAAGACAAAATTTCCAATAAATATTTCCTATTATTTCTGAAACATATACTTCCATTACACAATCAAACGATCCGAACTCTCAAATTCAATAGCGAAGAATTAATTCAAAATCTTTCTCCACATATCCGTCATTTGACTAACTTAGAATCTCTCACAATAGAGTTCGATAGATCGAGTACTTCCGAAGAACAAGATCAGTTGATCACTGACGCTGCATGTCTTCCATCGTTATCTGAACTGTCCATATTTTTTGCTAGAAGAAATCACAGTCTAAAGTCTATTTTTTTATCTGCACTATCTAACTTAACAACACTGACTCTATTAACTCCAGGTGGTTTTCTTCATCTTAATGGTGTTTTTAAAATGCCTTATCTGAAACGATTGTCAATCAATATAATATCGATTAGATTATTAGGAAAACTATTCTCAATGACGACAAATCTTGAAGAACTCCATTTATCGATTTTATCTTCTATTCGCCCAGACTGTTTCAGTCGATTTGAAGTACCAAGAACATTATATAAATTACACTTAGAACTTGGTCAGGATGATACACAAGAACAACAATCAAATTTTAATATTACGATGAAGTTTTTAGATATGTTTAAGGATAATCTCACATCACTCACGTTGATTGCTATTATAAAAGAAAAAAACTTTTCAAACTATGAATCATTTCACAAATTAGTGAATAATTTTACTCACTTAGACACTTTCGAATATTTTATTCGCACAAACCTTCCACCTAATTCGTTGTTTACAAATATTCATGAATTACCAGATTCTAACTATATTACTTTTACTCTTCCACAACCTCAACCCTTCGACTATACAATTTGTCGAACAGCATTTGAACTTAGACTTACATCTGATTCACATATTACTTTATCACAATTACTTCATTGCTCTACGCTCTTTCTCTACGGTAACAACATTCCTAGGACTCTATCCAATGCGTTGGAACTAAATAACAACATTACATTTCCATATTTGAAAGAAATAACGTTTGCTGGACACATTGGAACAAGTGATATACGTGCAATATGTCAATTTTTCTCCAAATTAATCCATTTTTCACCCAATCTACATACTATCGAAATTAATATTAATTTGAATTATATGACTGAAATCGTTGAGCAACTAAAGGAACTCGTCTCTATGAGATATTTGAAGCAAATCAGACATTTTCGGCTTGGACAATATTATTCTTGTAATTCATTTCTTCATGATTTGTTGAAAATCTTTCCAAATTTGATTACACTTAGGCTTCCAAAGAGTGTATCAATTTTCGATGAAAACATAACAACATTAATTAACTTCGTTCAAATTTCAAGCACATATTTTCCTCGACTCATTCATTTGACGTTTTATGGAGATTTGAAAAGTTCTAATCGACGTGTATTTGAAAGTAATGCAAAACATCTAAATGAACGACAACAAATAGAACATCCATGGCACTGTACAACTGGAAAAGAATCCAACAACAAATATTATTATTTGAGTATATGGTTGTAGTTTAAAAAATATTACAACACGCACTGACAAAAATTTATAAGATTCACGAATCGAAAGACAGTGGATTTGGATTATTTTCTTGTTCCATTCGCACATTGTAA